TTTGTCTCAGACGAAACTGTTTACAATATGTATAGTGGATGGCTCAGTTTTCCAGAGCAGGTTCAACAAAGAGTGAATAACAACTAAATAGAGCGGTTGCCAGTTGACAAACCCCCTTTATATTTACAATGCAGTTGCGTGAATGTCCACTACTTTCTGAACGAAAGGTTCAACATATTTTAATATTTTGTATGCTCCATTGGGCTTCGGATTGCACCACCACCTTGTCATTTAATCAACTAGACCTCATCATGAGCATACGCAAGCATCACTAATATGGGGAGCAACCCCAGAGATGAGGGAGATACACGCCGTACATCCATTGTGCACAGTACTGACAGGGTACGCACATGCTGTCACGTATATTATGTACAGCGGACATTGAAAGAAAATAACCGATTAACCCATATGCATATGGTTAACTGTTCGTGTATTCTTAACGGTTACATAACCGGTTAACCTATCTAACCATTTCACCCTAGTCAAAATGGTGCTGTTTGCTTACAGACTACAACTGTATTGCCATCGATCCACACTGATCAATCCAGGAAATGTGCGCATGTTGTACATTTTTAGTGTATTTTATAGTAGTGTGTCTACTGCATGTGTTTCAGGACTGTAACAGTCACACTACAACAAAAGTCCGACACTCCAGAACAACCCCACACAAAATCCTGTGGTCGACCAGCCAACAAACACAGCTCTGGGTTGAATGACGAATTAGTGAAAAACTATAAAGAGAAAAGAGAGGTGAAAGAGAAAACCGCCAACACATCTCCAGAACGACAGAGCCTCCCTCTCTCCCTCCCTCTCTCTCTCTGTCTGTGCGTCTGTCTTTGTCTTTGTCTCTCTCTCTCTCTGTCTCTCTCTCTCTCTCTGTCTCTCCCTCTCACGGCAACTAAAAAAACAACCATATCTCAAACCACACCTCACTCATTTTACGCTGTAGGATGAAGATGAAGGGGAGGTTGGCGATGAGAAGAAGAACACGGCAGGGTTTAAGCATTTATTGTTCAGTGACCCGTGTCGTTTGGCGTATAATGATTCTCGGTTTACAATTGTAGTATTGTTTGTTTTGCAAAGAATTTCAATCAGTTAAAAGTCATAGATGCTGTTTACATTCACAAGCGTAAGCCAGACCGATGCATTCAGAAAGAACATGTCACGGCATCCACATTCTTTCCTTAGCACCGTAACTGTATTTTGCACATATGTTTGTTTTATTCACCCTCTCTCTTTCTCTTTTCTTACAGTTACACTTGTGTTTTATCACACTATAGAATGACTGCGCATGTATTTTATAGATTGCGATTATTATCACTGTCGGGAAGGAAAACACCAATTTTACAGGGCCCTAAAAGTCTGAACGATACCTATGAAATGCATTGTCAAAGCAAACACAAAATATGAATATGCAAGCTCATGCCTGAGGGGAAGATGAGAAGTTGAAACGTGGAGATTTTTCGGACAGGACGAGAATCCGAAGAACCTGGGTGATTCCCTTACTTCCACAATGGGCTAGTGGCTGCATCACAAAAATTATACCTTGCAGTGGGTGCAGAGACAGATCAATAAACACTAACCTGAGCATGAGAGCTGCTCGTATTCATTGCGATCGTCAGGAAAATGGCAGGACGAACGGACCAGAAGAATGTTGGCTATGACAAACAACTGCATATCCAGACGACACACGGCTTGACTATTTGCTTATGACGTTCAGCTTCGAGGTCCAGCACGATGGAATTTTCGGAAGGAACTGATTTTTGAATTATTTGGGCAAGAAGATTGCACTCAGAAAACTTGAGACAAGGTACCGTAACTGGTTTCTTTCATTTGAAAAGCTGTTCACCAAAGTCCTAAACATACACTGTACGACGTTTCGGAGCTGCTCCAAATCGATCGATTTGTTTTGAATGGTTTCGCCACCGCTTTCCGATCGATCGATCCTTGCGCGATCTGTCGATCGACAGATCGCGCAAGAAAATCGATCGATTTTCCAAATCGACAGAACGCGCACAACAGCTACACTACTGTACGTTGTACTCGGGGTTGTAGATTGTGCAATCAGGTTTGGACTCCCGCCTTCCTCAAGGTGTATCATCTTCGCCACGAGGCCATCAATGGTTGCTTTCATTTCTCTAACTTCCCTATCCCTGTCCTCCCTGAGGGATACCATTTCCACAGTTAATGCAGTGATAGTCGAGGACAGTGCACTGATAGAGCTCACTAGCGCTGGCATACCTGATTTGCCGATGTCCATGGCGCGAAGTTGAAGTACAAGGTCCGGTCGGGCCAACGAGTCCACACCTGCAAGTCCTGACTTTTTGGCCAAGTCACGAATCTCCCCATCCAGCAGCAAGGCCAGGTCCATATTTGAGTTCTCCACCATATTAGGGCTGGGACTAGTTCCAGGTCCACCTATACTTACAAAAGTGGCCGAAAGGCTATTCCATAGATGGAAAGGCAGGAGCTAAAAAACTTGCTTCCTACTCCTACGACTTTTCTGACTTGGGCAAGATATGCAAAAAGATATGCCAAAATATGCTCGACATAAGCAGAAAGTGTAGATCATTTCAGTAAAATTACAACCTTGGAATATTCATTGGCTTCACGGCTATCATGCTTATGGTGCAAATCAAAACACATGCAGAATGGTATGGCTGGTGTGTGTCCCCAGCAACCGTAGCGATAGTGTTCATCCCTGGGGAAATGTAGCAAACGCCTCAACCATTCCAAATTCATCCATAAAAGGCATTTCTGAACGCATTTTGTCCATAACATGAATGTTTTGTCCTCATTTCCTTCAGAATATTTGAATTATATGCTAGCTTAATTCCTATATTCCCTTTCTCGCTCAATATGCCATATATGAACTGTCTCACAAAATATGCGGAAATATGCGCAAGCATATTTGGTCGAGGCCTACTCCTCGTCCATTCAGGGGCTTATTTTACACATTTTACACAAAATGGCAAAGCACCCACCACTATTTATACCGACGTGGCAGGGAAAATTACAAATTTTCTGGTCAATGTTGATCTACGATAAACTGGCTCTCATTTGCCACACCCATGTTTCAATACAGCCATCCGACCAAACAGCCAGAAGAAAAGCAAATTTACACATTTGTTAAAAAATGCCAAATGTTAAAAAAAGCCAAATCACCTCGTACCATTGTTTATTTTATTTTATTTTATTTTATTTATTTATTTATGGATTCCCCGAAGGCCGAGGGGGTCTCCGGACGGGCGTTTCCCACTCATATCATCAGCTCACGTCTTTATTGGCCCGGAATCTGCAAAATTTATCACGTACATCTAACATCTAGGGGGCGTTCGTTTTTAATCTACAGGTTTGGGTAGAAACTACTTCTTTCGGTAGAGGTGTTCGTTTTTTGAAAAAAATTCTACTCAAAAGGGTAGATTCTACTTTCCTCTACCGGCTCTACCGGGAAAAAGTTGGTAGAATCCGGTAGAAGTTGGTAGAGCTACGGGATTTCCAGCAAGATCAAGGATTTGTACACAACTCCATAAAAAAAAGAAACATTTCACATCGTGTAAACTACTAGATCCGGTAGAACAGCGTTCGTACACTTACCTCTACCATCTACCTCTATCGGTAGAGTGACTCTACTCTACTCTACCAGGTAGCTAAAAACGAACGCAGCCATAGATTGAGTTTATCGTCCGCGCCCGCCCCGATTTTTTGCCATCCCCGCCCAATTATTTTATTTTTTAGTTAATTTTAACACTCCCGATCCGGGGGGGGGGGGGGGCCTGATCCCACCACATGCCATATTTGGATGTAGCCTAGCCTGGCAAGCAGAAACTCTGCCTTGCAGAGTTTCTGCACAACGAAAATTCGAACGAAGTTTCGCGCCAGGCCTTGCGAAAATGTGTACGAATTTTCGCACGAACTTTGTGTTCTGCACATTTTCGTAGTTTGCACGCGCCAAGTGCACGTACGACATGACCCAATCTCACGAAACTTCCTACGAAAGTTCATTTCGCGTTCCCTGCAAGTTTCGCGTCCAAAATTGCGAAAGTTCGTGCGAAGTTTCTCACTTCGTGACGTGGAGCGAAAGTTCGTACACATTTTCGTTTTGCAGAACCTCTCTAATGCCAAAATCATCTCGATCGTAAAGGAAAATTAGATTGCGACGGTTTCTTCACGTACCGATGCGGAATTCTGGGTCATCCTAATAAAGATATTATTATTATTACAGTGCGTATCGGTTATAGTGTGGTCGTATACATGTACAAGAATATACTGCCTAGTGCCTACAAGAATGAACACTCATTTTTTCATAATCATAACACCTATTTTATGTGTATATTTATTCTTACAAGCAGTATTATCGCATAGTAGAATATATCGGCCCTAAGAATGGATTTTGTGTAGCAAAATATGCCAGATTAGTGCAAAGTGTATCGCCTATAGTAATAACATCTGTGCTCTGTGCATGCTCAATACAATAATATTCAACACAAAAAGAGAGTTATGTCCAACTGAGCATTGGAGAATCACTTTTTCTGCCCAGTCCGACTCTTTCTTCCGACTTCTCTCCTATCTGCTGCTCCGCAGTCGCCTAGCACGACCGCGAGTCTGATCCGTGTGTATCATGATTGTTTAGACCTACATGATTGTACGTGTCCACATGCCAAACATGTATTATGTCACACGTGCATATGATATGTCACGTGATTTATCGTGTGTAAGAAATATCGGCAATAAGAATCAAATGTCGTTTTTCAAACACCCACGCTATAACCGATACCTACTGTAATTGTTTTGCTAAATACGGTATATGTATGCGCACACGTAGATCTACGTACACACATCCGTTTGAGCCCGGGTCGCGACTCGCGGGTCCGCAGTCATCATGTACGCAATGCGCCGTCGACGAGATGTGTACATAACCCCCGGGGGGGGGGGGGGTATGTACTCTCATGGCTTTTCTCGTACGCGAAACGACGGAACTTGACTAGCCTCTTCTTCTTCCATGTGCTCATATCAGTTGCTTTCGTGATTGGCTTGCTGGGGGTGGACATTTGGACAACGCTGAATTGAGTTGACGTGCCTGCTACATTGAAGGTGAGTTCCATTTTTGTGGTGATTTCTATTACAGGAAATGATTTTGCTCCCCACGCTGGAGCTCGCCCCTTTCCGCCGATCTGACTTGACAATTGCCTGACTCACGACTGCCATCCAGAGCACACGGGAAGTCCCTCGAACCTTCGACTCGACTTCAAGAGTCCCTGGTTCGATTCCTGGTGGTGACAGTCAGTCTTTTTCTTCTTCAGACTCCCGTTTTCACTGCATACAACTTGTTAGTGTTTTATGTATTCGGGTTCCCCGCATGCTACAGTGGAGATCGGATATAACGACCTTGCATATAACGACAGACTGAGTTTAGCGACACAATTCTGTTGCCCAAGTCGTTTAGTAAGTCCTTTGTGAAGATCGGGTTTAGTGACAGATCGAATATAGTGACATTTTGTTCTCTCCCGAAGGAGTGCCGTTATATCCAATCTCCATTGTAGTTTGTAGTTAAAGTGTTTACAACAAGCACAGGGGATACCAAAGTGATCATAGCAATGAAAACTGTTTTATGGCAGCTTTCTAAAAAATGTTATCGTGGTCTAGTCCTGGGTACTTCCCTTATAGAAGATTTATAAAATTGCTTTCGTAACCGCCATGGATAGGGGTGCGCGGATTATTCCCGGAATAGTTTGGGAATACTATCGTTGAGAATTTTAGGGGAATTCTATCGATCTTTTGCCAGATCCATTGACCTTCAGAAGAGTTTTAGGGAAAATTCTGTCAATTTTGACCTGCCAGAGAATAAGCGCGCATCCATGGACGCACGTAGATGTACATGTAGCAACACCCGGACACGACACCACACCGGTCCTTGCTTTACTTGGACAACGTTAACAGGACTTGACTGGGCTTGCATGCATTCATGCAGACACCAGGAGCAGAGTGCGGACGAGTACACGGGGAATTCACGCTGCTGGCGACATGTACATGTATGTAGATCCTGCATGCAGTGATCACGTGCCTGACCGTCTATTTTGCATACTAAAGAGCATGCTTAAGGCACGGCTCGTGCTGGGGTTCTTTTGGGGGAGGGGGAAATTCTGGAGAATTGTTTCGATGTTTTGGGAGAATACTTTCGAAGTTCCGCGGGAAATGCCCGAAAGCACAATATCGGGTGCGTGCGAGCATAATCCGCGCACCCCTAGCCATGGACCCCTTCTTTCTAAAAAGTAAGAAATTATCAAAATATGATTGCCGAAAAATTAAAATTTCACACAAAACCTCAAAATAATCACAATGTCGGCGTGGAGACAAGAAACCTAATATCGACAAAAGTAAAATAGGCGCACTCATACGACGAGAACAATGGAATAATATGTTACGATTTGAATATCTATTTCATGTGATAAAGCGAGACAAAATTAAAATCGACATTCCCGGGCAGGCCGCAATTGAAATTGGTGCGGGTGGACGAATGTTTTATTTTTTTCATTTTTTCCTATGTTTGTATGTATGCATGCTATGCTGAACATTTTTACAGTGTTATGAAACCAAGTTCTCAAGTGTGAAAGGCCTTCTCGCTTGTAACATTGTGTTCGTTTCAATGCAGTTGTATCTCGACTCCGCCGTACAGCTGAAGTTTAAGACGTGGTATACGCTACATGCGCTATGTGCGGTTTGCTGTGTGCGCTGTAGTTGCATGTTGTATGTGTATGCTTTTCTCATATACGCTGTCATTTTTCATGCTATAACTACCTGGTGGTTTTAGTGTTAGTTTTGTTGATCGAAGTGAAATAATACTGTCAAGAGTTAATAGTTGTCCTCGTGCCGTGTGGTCGTTCGATCCTGACTTTTAGAGAATCAAACGGGTTCACAACATTTGGCGACCACGCCAGGATTGAAGCGAGCATGGCAGAGGAACTACTGAGTAGGTGATTTGGAAGCCATCTTTATCGCCAACGGATGTGGCGATAGGTTGATGGAATACGTGGAGAAGAGGCTCCGACAGTGCGAAGAGCGTAGAGCCAGACCGCAAGGGGTGCGCTCCGCACAGAGTTTAGCGAAAAGCTCAAGGAGATTAAAGAGCGCATCGCCAGGGTGTATCAGGGTGATGGTGACGCCGCGCGTGTGAGGTAGATGGGAGGTACAGCGGAAGCTCCCAGTCACAGCGGTGGGCGTAGGCCTTTAATGCAAGTCCTGACATACGACGGAAGGCAGCCACTGGAGCGTTATCTCGACCTGTTCGAGGACATCTGTGTCAAGAACGAGTTTGACGAAAACGAATGGCTGCTGAGATTGCGTATCGCTCTATCAGGTAGCACGGTGGAAAGGAACTGTATTGGCTGCCTTACCTATGAGGAAGCAAAGCGAGATTTGCTTGCCTCGCTCAGAAGGACGCCGGGAGAAGCGCAAGAAGTAGAAGCGCAAGAAGTAGAAGCGCAAGAAGTAGAAGCGCAAGAAAGAGAAGAAAGAAGCTAAGGAAAGGAGAAAGGCGATACTGCACAGCAAGGAAGAGGTCAACGGCGAGACTGTGTGGAACACAGAGATCGGATGTGTGTTGTATCACCTCGTTTCTTTTTCCTGTTTTTCACATTTTTAGCTGTCCATATCAAAGTATTTTGCAAGTAGTTCCCCTTCCATTTTAATGTAAATCATGCATGTCGACATAATAAACAGTGCTCATTGCACGTCCTTGTTGCTGTACAAAAAACTTCATAGATTTTCAAGACAATATCGGGAATCCTCTTTATAACTTCCCTCAAAAGGTAAAAGTACCTATTTTGTAGTGTGAACGCAGTGTCGACACCATAATAATACAACTCTGGCCCGGGCTGGTCTGTTTATATGTGCTTTTTCTGGCCCGCCTGGCTGGGATCCCGGGTGCCTCGAGGCGGGATCCCGCCTCACCAGGCCATGTAAACGCACCACAGGTTTTGTGTGGATTTGTGTACAACCCCGAGATCCCGTTGCAGGCGGGCTGGCCCGCCTGTCGACCAGCCCGGGCTGGAGCTGCTCATATAATCACCCCCTAACTTGTAGTTCCTTGGTCTATTATTTTTCTTGTACAATGATAGTTGGACAAAAGGAAGATATTTATTGTACCATAAGGTGAACATTTTTAGATCTAAAACAAATACAAGAAACACTGATATTCTACAGCTAGCACTATTGAAGGCGTGATTACATGAGCAGCGAGCAGTGTGAAAGCAAGTGTAGATGCACCGTTTTCAGTCCCACATTTCTTTTTCGTTTTCGTGCGTTCACACGATCAAAGCTGATCCGAGGCGGTCTCCGCTTGTATCGTTTTCGCGTGCATCTACATGGGAGCACAGAATCCGCAAAAGTTCGTCATGGGCCAATCACACTCAAGCAATAGTGGAAAACAGGCCACAGAACAATACTCGTCACATGACGAAAATTATAAAAACAATTTTTTGATTGTAGGATCCGTTTAAGGGCCTGGTCAGACTGCGGCAAAATCGAAATCATCCTGTGATTATAATCCGAATCTCCATAGTAACTTGCCGCCAGAGTGGCAAAAGCGAGAGTAGACACTCCAAAAAAAAGCAAGAACGGACCACGCTTTTCCGCTCCAAACAGGTGTTTGATGCTGATACGCCATTGATGCTGATATTCACTGATTTTTCATCTCGATATCGAGGAGCTACGGGCCACGGACAACAACAAAACTCATAATGATGGTTGCAAGGATTGCACTGACGGTGTTGGCGATCCCCAAGGTGAAGGAATTTGACGTCGTTCGTGGAGATTACCATTTGACGCTCGAAATGAAGTTTGAATTTTCACTCTCCCCACATGTGTGGTGTGATCGCGATTCTAATTCTGGACGCTGTTCTTTTTTCGTCAGGCAACCAACATTCGCCGCAGTCTGACCAGGCCCTAAATGGCCGAAAACGAAACACACGTGACGGAAAACGAGGCCAGCATACCGTTTCGACTGTTTACACACCCATATTTATCCGGCAGAATATTTCCGTTTTCAAATTCTTCCACCTTGGCCAGCGTTTTGATTTTCTTCCGTTTTGGTGTACAACTTTTGCGTTTTGCTCCTCGTACCGTGTAAATGAACCATGCATCCGAAAGGATTTTGTTGGGTTTTCACCCCAGCGTTGTCATGTAAACGCAGCATTAGTAAGAGAGCAGAAGTTGAGACTTCGGCGGTTTTAGTCCTGAAGCAAGACGCTGACACCTGTTGGGAATTCCCTAGTAAAAGAAGAAAAAATAAAAAAATAATAATAAGTAAGTTTGTATTGTATAATCTCTGGTGAGGATTTGGTACGGAGAGCAGTATAAAAGTGGTGCTTTTCAGGCAAAATCTTCTTCAGTCTACTCAAGTGCAACTGACGAGGGGCAAATTCCGCTAAACACTGTGTATTGAGCAGGGAGTGGTGCTTTCTTTCAGGTTTGCCAAGTGGAAGATGCGACATGCTCCTCGTTTGCTCCAGATGGCAGTCGTGAGTCAGTCAAGTGTCAAGTTCGGCAAGAAGCGCGAGTTCCTTGTCGGAACAACCAACTTTAAGAGAGCATGTCTGAGAAAACCAGACAATGTGTGCAAGTCGATCTCTCTCAAACTTAAGAAGTATATGTAGGTTCCTTTGGAGGTGTAAATCAATGGTGCAAAGCCATTGAAAAGGTTTCTGAAGGGAGCGTTGAAATTTCGTACCCTCAAGAGGGGTCAAAAAATCCCATGATTCAGTATGGGTCTACAAACGAGCCACACCACAGCGTACACGATCATGCCATGCCAGCTTCCCAGAAGACGAGATCCATCACCCCCTGACGCCACAAATGATCGTCTTGAAAATAGCCAAATTACAAGCGCTGATGAAACAGCGAGCTACATCCTCAATAAGCAAGAACTATACACCAGCAGATAGTCAAACACCTCTTCTAGCATTGAGGACATGTCTCCCGTCATCCTTTTTGGGTTTTCTGGAAATGAACAATTTTGAATTTTTCCACTCCACCGTGCTGAAATGCATCCGAACTCATACCTGCGCAGGATAGGTGGCCCACCAGCGACATCTTTAGTCAGCAATTTCTACTCCAACATGGCACGGTGATCATTTGTCACTTCAAACGACAAGTTTCTCCTTGTGCCACCAACATTTTTTTGGTGTGACAGTTGATGCAAAAGTAACTGAAGTTTGCCTGATGTGATTTTTCAACCATTTTTGAGGTATGTCAATTTCAAGGTTCTCTTCAGAAACGTTCTCAAGGGCTTTGCACAGTCAATCTACACCCCAAAGGAAACCTACCTGCAAAATTTTAGCAAAATCGGAGAAATTGCTCTTTTTCTCTTTACCTCAAACTATTTCTATTTAAATAATAAAAAGATAGGACCATGTTGAAGTTTGCAAGTTGATGTCTATTTTCTTATCATTTACCGTATTCTCTGTCAACAGGTTTCAAAGATGGGATCTCTCCCATGGCTTGCACTGTGTGTGCTGGCGTCAGTGTTGCACATCTCAAACGCCGACAATGCCCAAAATGAAATGCAAGGTAGATGTTACTGCCGTGTCTTTTTCTTCTTCTTGTTTTCTCCTTTTTCTGCAACTTGGACTGAAAATTGTGGTATTGCATTAAGTTCCTTCTGTGCCGCGTGCACGAAACACTCACATGTCCAAACAGGACTATCAACCCGTTTGATTTATGTTCACTGACGACTGTAAAGCAACCTCACCTCCACCATACGTGCACTCGGGCAGGAGGTGTAGGAGGTAGATCTGCTTTATTGGTAGACAGGCCGAAAGCCGCTCCTTAGTTTCGTTTTAGTTTTATTCCAAACAATATATGGCTGGGGCTACCCTTGCGTGGCGATTGCAGGGTTCTTATAGCCAACTACGGCTTACATATTATCATCCTTTCATAATTCTGTGAGAACCTGTCCTATGGGCACGTGAGAAGGCATCTCTGCCTGTTCATTTGGTGAAGTAAATAAACAACAACAACAACATATTGCAATTTCATATTTGGACTTCACGGAGAGTTTCAAAGTTTGGAAATTAAAGGCCACATGCCAGGTAATGCTCTTTTCTCTCCCAAACTCAACACTTGCAAGCCAGATATGAAAGAAAGAAAAAATCATCAGTCACACCACCAGGACTCGAACCAGGGACCTTGCTATTCGCGAGAAATATGATGCAAGCCAGAAATGGATTGATTGAAGAAGGATAGATTTACCATCACTGTGGATAAGAGTCATACTGTAGCTCAGTTGGTTAGAGCATTGCTCGCGAATAGCAAGGTCCGTGGTTCGAGTCCCGGTGATGTGACTGATGATTATTTCTTTCTTTCATATCTGGCTTGCAAGTGTTGAGTTTGGGAGAGAAAAGAGCAGTACGTGGCATGTGGCCTTTAATTTCCAAAAAACACAACATAGCCTATTTTATCAAAGACTATTATTTATCTACCAACTGAACTTGTTGTGCACATGGGCCCTGCATGCCAAAGTGGAGAAATTCTTGGGGAAATGAACTATGCGACTGCACGAGAAGAAGTTCATCTTCCCAGCTTTGCTCAACCTTAGGCAGTAAGGCCCCATTCACACTGCTTGAAAAGTGCGTTATAGACCATTTTTTAGGCCATTCTCCTTAGCAACCTGGGTAATTTGGCGTGAAAGTATAAAAGTTACGTGAAAAGTTTTCGCAACTCCAGTACCCCTGTACAAGGCAACTTTTTCTTTCAAGCAGAAGTTGACAGCAGGAAACACTGGTTCCAGAGTATTAATTTTTCAATATGCCGAAGATTCTGTTCACCGACGATCTGGAGTGTCACTCATTGAGCTCTGGGGCGAATACTAGCGAACGAAAAGTGGCAGTATGATGAAGCGATCTGTCGCAGAGCGTCAGATCGCATCCAAACTGACAAACAATGATTACATCCAGCACCTCGGCATCAAGGATGTCGTGTTCACGGCGGCGAGCGTGCACAGCAAGGTGGACAATTTGAAAACGAAGGCCCGCAATCACTACAGGAGATATAGGAAAAAAGAAGTAGAAATGGCAAGGGCTGCGGCAACTCTCAGCCGACCTCTGTCACGGGCATGGCGACCTATGTCAGCAAAGAAGGATTGATTTCCTTGCAATATCACCATGGCAATTAACGAAAATTTGAGGTGTGTTCAGATTGCCGGAAAATGTTCAAAAGTCCCTCGAAAATGTGGAGTTGAGATATTATGACACTCACGTGCGCATCGCATATCGTGTGTGAACAGATTTTTTTCAAGTCGCCTTCAACATGCTTTTGCAGGCCGAGTTGCTTTTGCGTAGTGTGAATGCGGCCTTAGGTTTCTTGAGAAGCAGCACCAACCTCATTATAAATAGCCCACACATAACACGGAATGGGGCGCTCTTGTGACACTTCAGGGTGATTATTATCTTTACTAGGGAGGTTTCGCTCTACGGAATTACGTATGAAAATAACGTATGAACTGCTCGGAATTTTCATACGTAAAAATCAGAGCTGCTGGGTTTCGCTCTACGCTGGCCTTGCCTTCTGCCCACACTAAAGCTGGTTTTTACAAAAAAAGAAAGAGAGAAAGGTAGCTGACCTGCATGACGAGACGAGGTGGACATAGGCGAGACGAGGTTGACAGAGACAAGACGAGGTTGGCGTAGGAGAGACGAGGTTTACATGGACGAGACGAGGTTGGCGTAGGAGAGACGAGGTTGACATGGACGAGACGAATGCCAGGCGGTAGAGCACGAGAATCCCAGGGTCGCGGGCTTTGGCAAAATCTGGGCGCCAATGTTGAGTCCAACAAGAGAGACTGACGACGGACAACGGGAACAAGTAGGTTGGTAACGACATAGCTGTGACCCTGAAATCTCGTCCATTGGTAGCCAGGGCAACCCTGAGCTGGAAAGTGTAAGCGATGGCATGCTACACTCCCCCGTATGCCCTTAAAGGGGAAGTTAAGGCAAAAATTAAAATTTCACCAGTTGTAGTCTTCGGGGTGCTGAGTCGAATGGTCTTGGTCCGAGAAAGCTGAGACGCTCCCTTCCTACTTGAATCCCAATCGAACTCGCGCACTTCCACCGAAACTGGGTGACTGCGCCCTACTAGATGGGGATTTGTATGCAAAATGTCACAAAAAGCGCCGTTTTGTTCTTATAAAAGCACGGATGACCGCGATTGGCCCATATGTTGTAGTCTTTTGGACGCTGAGTCGACTGGTTTTGGTCCGAAAAGGCTGCGATGCAGTGTTCCTCCTTTATTCCCAATCGAACATGGTTGAACAAGCGGTCACGTGCTCCTGCGTACACCAGTCAGCTGGTCACCGTGCCTGCAGGGTCCAACTTACTAGCCTGTTTGACCTTTTTTTGGGTGCAGTCCTGTCACTCGAGTTGAACTCGAGTTGAACCTTGGTGTGAAAGTTGTCGCCTGCTGGCGTGGTGACCAGGTGATTTGGCCACCCAGGAGCACGTGACCACTTGTTCAACCATGTTCGATTGGGAATAAAGGAGGAACGCTGCATTGCAGCCTTTTCGGACCAAAACCAGTCGACTCAGCGTCTAAAAGACTACAACATATGGGCCAATCGCGGTCATCTGTGCTTTTATAAGAACGAAACGGCGCTTTTAGTGACATTTTGCATACAAGTCCCCATCTAGTAGGGCGCAGTCACCCAGTTTCGGTGGAAGTGCGCGAGTTCGATTGGGATTCAAGTAGGAAGGGAGCGTCTCAGCTTTCTCGGACCAAGACCATTCGACTCAGCACCCCGAAGACTACAACTGGTGAAATTTTAATTTTTGCCTTAACTTCCCCTTTAACCCATTGAACGCTGATGACGTCTATAGACGTCATTGAAAATGCCCCCCATGCGCGGGATGACGTCTATAGACGTCATGGGATATATAGTGATTTCTGGCACTGTCTGATGTGTAAAAGCACTGATAGTCAGTTGGATCATGATCCTGCCTCTTGTACGATAGGTCGTTGGTACGGATCCCGCTTGGAAACACTACGGGTCTTTTTTCTTCTCTTTTCAGCGATCTTTCAGCTGCAATTTCACGCATTTGGCGTATTTCACGGAATATGAGCAAACTTGCGTCCCCTATTGTGAGGCGCTGTCCTTTTTGGAGACTGTATCGATTCTGTCACCCTGTGGTTGATAGTCTTGGCAATCATTTCCAAAATATTTGAGGACCCCAGTTGCAAGAACCTTGAGTTTTAGAACTTGCTATTGGCCCTGTTTTTAGCATTTTATATGCAGAGTACCATAGGCAAGGCCCAGTAGCGCTGAATGGGTTAACAGCGCGAGTTTAGGCATGGAGTATAGTAATATACCAGCATCTTACTACTCCATGATACCAAACGCACGGGCGTCTTCATCTTCATCCCGCAGATCGAGAATGTACAAGTGTCGCGTGATTTCGCCCATTGAGTACCACAGGAACTACATTTAAGCACAATTTCAGCATTTTGTGATTAATTTAGACCGCAACCTGTAGTGATAAATCTTGTGCACTGTTTCCATTGTGCTTGGGGCAGGGAAAAATCAAGAACTCATTTTCGACCCCTTGTAACGGCATCACAGCCATTCCGTTACCCGGGACACAGGACACAATGGACAAGTACTTGTTTGTTAACATTATTATATTGAACTAAGGCGAGACGGGAAAACAGGGACGACTGACTCCTATGGGACGAACAAGAAGACTGACAGAATGACTCTCGACGACAACATCATGCATGCTCATATCATACATGCTTTAATACGGCACAATTCGTCCTTCTTGTTGATGCAGTGAAACCGTTGTCTCCAAAACGACTGTTCATTGTTACTAACGTCTTCTCTTTGACTTTCTCTGTATAGCGGGTTGCCCCAAAACAGACGTTGGCAATGGAACTCTACCTCAAGCTGCCAGTGGTGATAGAGTGGGAGTACTGTGCAACACCGGATATGGAGCGGAATACACAATTTTCACGTGTGGTTCAAGCGGATGGGAGGGCATCAATAAGACAATCTGCATTCCTGGTAAGGACTATTGCAGGAATATGCCGGTTTTTCACCCACATGCTAAACACTCTTTTCTACTCTATAACTTGCTGACTTTGAATTCTTACATGACACGTGATCGTTGCCCGGGCCATGGCCAATAGGTAGTCTTCCCGCCGCGGGCATAATCAGGCCATCAGGACCGTTTGACATCACTTCGGAAATTTCAGGACCGTTTGACGTCATTTCGGGAATGTCAGGACCGTTTGACGTCATTTCAGGAATAAATTTTTGACCTTTCGACCTTTAACCTTCCCTAATATGTTGCTTCGCGCTTTAAGAAATCAAATCAAGCACGCTCTGTCTGTCATGATGGCTGAATCTTGCCCGAGCCTGCAGCCCTCGGGCCTACGGCCCTTGGGCTGCAGGCTCGGGCAAGATTCAGCCATCATGACCTCCTGAGCGTGCTTGATTACATACATCATGCAGTTTCAGTGACACATGCATGCACACACACACACACACACACACACACACACACACACACACACACACACACACACACACACACACACACACACACACACACCATTGACCATTGGACGCCCATCGCCAGAGGCGATGATAGCGATGCTACAGCAGAAGCCATAGCAACTTGTGCTGGGATTGCACCATTCAACAGCTTGCAAGGCTGAAGAATTGACCACCACTATTCAGCCTGGTCTACACCACACAGCTTTGAAGTGGCTTTTTTCTGGCCAGTGAATCCCTACTTTTTGGTCTTTTTTTCTTCTTTTTTCCCGCACACACATCACACCACATACTCCGGCATGCACTGGCTGTTGGTAACCACCCAGGAGAATGAAAGAAAAGTCAGGAAGAGTCTGAGAAAGAGAAGAAAGACGTGTGTGACCATAATCGTCGGGAATCGAACCCGCAACCTATCGATTGGAAATCGCTGCACATACCACTGCACCATATGGGACACACACACACACAGACACAGACACACAGACACACACACACCTGCATATGCACTCGCAAACAGGCACACACACACACAGACACACACACACAGACACACACACACACACACACACACACACACACACACACACACACATACACACATACACACACACACACACACACACACACACACATGCATATGCACACGCAAACAGGCACACACACATACATGTGCACAAACAACCACATTCACATGCGCATAGACACACACAAACACATGCGCATAGGCACATACAAACACGTGCACACCTTGAACCTTGAACGTGCCCATTGCCGATGGCAATGATAGCGAAGGGACTATCTGCTAGCTTTGCAGTACGGAGCATGGAGCTTGAGATTCCTGGCATGACGGCAGACCTTTCCACGTGCGCAGCGGAAGCCAGAGTCGGGATCAGGGAGAGCATGGGTGGGAGGACGACGGTGAGCAATCTGCCTCCAGGCAGAGCGATCTTGGGCAGCAACAAACCAGCAGTCAGAAGGCACAGGAGGACTGATGGAGTGGAGGTCATCTACGATGACGTCACACCACCGCTTACGTGGACCATGGCGAGGGCATGTTGCGCTGAGCTCACTAAACAAAACTCCCTCCGGCATACAGTCGTCGGTCGTCCGGCCAACATGCCCAAGCCAACGCAGTCGATACTCTCGGATGATGTCCGTGACATCACAGTCAATGCCGAGGGGTCTGGTTGGCTGGCTGGTTGGTTGTGTTTATTTGAATTCGCAAGGCGAGCGGGCTGAACATGTCCAATCAAGGAAGCGAATGAGGTCCAAGTAACCCAAGAATGGGAAAACTTGGAAAGGAGACACAGATGAAAAGCAAATATGGGAAAAGACAGCATCCAGCAAAATAAAAAAGAGAAAAGAGAAAAAAAGAAAGAAAGAAAGAAAGGAAAAAGAAATAAGGGAAAAAAAGAAGAAAAAGAGATAAATCATGGTCACGGTGCAAAGAAAGTTCTTTAATAGCAAAAGAAAAATAAACGAGAGAGCTTGGAAGCTCAGGGCCCTATGCTATGCTTTTTTGCCTAGCTCATTTGTACATGTTATTAGAACTGATGGAAATGTTTTCTTCCGTTGATTGGCCACATCATTGTATTGCAAAACGTTTCAATCAGTTTGAGTATGAGTTAGGCAAAGGTATTTGCAGAATTTATTGCGGATTGTTATTTTTCTCTAATATCATATACTTTTGGTTTGCTCCTTCTTTTCTTTTGATCTCCTTATACTGTAAATCAACAAATTTTGGCCGATCTCGAAACGAAACTTTTCGCCGTTATTAAACTTTGGCCGATTGGAGTTTTCAAAAAGAAATAGATCGGTATTTTTTGCTCTCACATGCATCCATTGCTCAATCATGCATCATTTGCCTCTATGACAAACTTTGGCCTGCGATTTGCTTTAGCCGGTTGGTACCAAGCAGCGTTCTGGAGTCGACGGGATGTCTGTCCTGACGTTTCCTGGGACCGGCGCTGACTCTGCCGATCACGGGCGTTCTGGACTCGACGGGATGTCTGTCCTGACGTTTCCTGGGACCGGCGCTGACTCTGCCGATCACGGGCGTTCTGGAGTTGACGGGATCTCTCTTCCGACGTTTCCTGTGACCGGCGCTGAATCGCCCGTTCACGCTTATTTTGGAGACGACGGGATCTCTCTTCCAAAGTATGGTTTTGCTGACGCATCCTATCACCTATTCGGCAATTAACGTCCAATCTAATTTCATTTCCTCCTCGTCTCCCTATTTCTTTCCAAATCTCCCTCTACATAAGGGAGTGGTATACATAATATGACCAAAATTGTGGCCCGCTGTTTGTACGGGACGGTACGGGACAGATATGGGAGCCAGCAAATATTGTGGCCAGTTGTTATGTACAATCCTGTAGAGCCTTTGTAGTCACAGATACGGGATAGCTCCAGGCGTGACACAAACACACAAACAAACAAACAAATACCAAATTAAAGCTGTGTGGACCCTGGCTAGCGCCAGACGTTACTGAAGTAACGTCTTCTGCACAGCTACGGAAATAAATAAAGGAGATAAATCGTGGCAACTGCCAAAGCCGGAGTAGCGGCAAGACACAGTACACGCGTACATGTGCTTACATATCACAACAACAGGAACAAGCATGCATAAAGCATGGGCCATGCCGGCCCAGAAGCGGGAGACACCGACAGGAAGAGAGAAGTGAAGAGAGAGAGATCGAAGCCACGCACTCACACCGTCACACACACACACATTGACCTTGACCTTGACCTTGACCTTGCCCATTGTGTAGCAATGTCAGCGCATTGTTATTTCTCCAGTCCACGACAGAAGGACTGCTGGCGTTTCAGGTCGCCGCTTCGACGGAACATGCGGTCGCAGGCGCAACTGTAGCTAGCAGCAGACAGGTGCCTTGGGTGGTCGACGGTCAATGGTACGCCACTCCGAACGGTTCTGGGCTGCATCGTACCATCCACATGCTGGTACCGGTGGCTCAACAGACGCGAAGTCATCCACAACGACGTCCCTCCACCTCTTGCGCGGACCATGCGCCGGGCGCAGGCGGCTTTTCCGAAGAGAACACACTTCGACAACCAGTGATCCTCCATCCGTGCCACGGGTCCAAGCCAGCGCAAACGCCCGTTCCCATACGATGAGACCAATGTCCTCAGGCACTCCTGGTGTCTTTGCTAGGGCCGAGGACGTTACGCGTGTCTCCCATTTCTGCTGTCGCAACACTCCAACGATAGTTCTTATAAACTGATGGTGGAAGAGGTTGAGATGCCGTAGATCCGGAGCCTTCGTTGTCCAGGTCTCCGCGCCGTACAGGACGGTAGAGGGCACCATGGCAACATACACACGACGGCGACACTGTAGAGTCAATGACCGGTTGTCGAACACCGCCCGCTTCAAGCTACCGATTTGGATGCTTTGGCATGCAATGCCAGCCTGCACGTCGTGGGAAGACAAACCATCGCGGTGTATGGCACTACCAAGGTACATGAACGAATCCACAGAATCTATGGCTTCACCACCATCCAGTGCCATTGGCGCATTCGCTGGAGTGTTCACCGCCATGCCCTTGGTTTTGGCCACGCTGACAGTTAAACCCCATTTAGACGCACATGATATAAACTTGGTCGTTGGCGACTCGATGTCTTGCTTAGTGGTGGAGAAAACCTGCAGCATCGTCGGCAAAAAGTGTCTCAGTGACACGGGTTGGAAGCAGCCGCGACTTTGCAGTGCGATCATGAGCGAGTTTACGCCCCACTTGTGCTTGACGGTAACGCCAACATCCGGGCATTCCGACACACACACACACACATATACATGTATACATACACAGATACCCACATCTACATACCCGCCCACACACATACCAACACACACACACACACACACACACACACTCATACACACACACAAACACACACACACACACACACACAAAAACACATATGTACACTGACAGCCACACATACAATTGATTTTGCAATGTTCTCAGTTCATAGTAGAAACAGGACTGCTGCAGCACGGAACTGACGAGGAATGGAGATGGAGCGAATACTGCTAGGCACGTTGTTCCAGCATACCGCACCCTGGAAGGCGAATGTCCCCTTTCCAGAGTTGCTGCGGGTGGGTGGCAGGCAGAGACCCATGCCGGAGTCCAGGCGTGTGAACCGGCCACAAGCTGGCAATAAGAGAACCTGAAGCTCAGGACTTGCTGAGCCGTAGCGGCAACGCCATACAAAGAATGCCAGCATCTGCTGGTATACTTCAGTTACCCATTCTGGCCATGGTAATGGAGGCGACTCGGTTGTCCCACTGATCCCACTAGGAGATCCTAACGATTATGCGAACGCACTAGTGATGTAACTCGTAGAGAGAGGGCAGGTCTAGTGCCTTCGGCACCCACGTCTCTGCTACGAACAGGAGGGTCGTCAGCACAAGGGCGATGGATAAGCAGCGCCGACAGCGGAGAGATAACGCCGGATTCTCAAAACACGGGGACATGGAGACTGCCGAACACACGCGAAGCCGTGACGAGACGGGACTGAACCTCATGCGAAGACTGCCAACGGCCTCGATGGTGCTCTCACGAAGAGACGCCGGCTCATTCATGGACAGTCATGCACTTGGTATTTGAGAGGCTGACCTCTATCACATACACACACGCACGCACACACACACACACGCACACACACGCACACACACGCGCGCGCGCGATCGCACACAAGCATGAACATGCGCACAATCCCTCGTGCTCAACCTCTCGCTCGTTTTCTGTTTTTCAGGTGTGTGTAACAATGGATTAATCTTTCAAAGTGGCTGTAGGTGTCTGGCGGGCTGGATGGGGAAGAATTGTACAAAACGTAAGGCTGATATTGCACATTTGTGTATGTGTTGTTGTTGTTGTTGTTGTTGTTGTTGTTGTTGTTGTTGTTGTTGTTGTTGTTGTTGTTGTTGTTGTTGTTGTTGTTGTTGTTGAATTCTTTATTCTCACGATGGCACCATCGCCAATAAGAGATAAATTTATGAGAAGGTGAGATTGTGGGTTAAACAGTTGGAAAGTGATTTACATCACTTTGAACTTTACAAGTATGGGAGAGGGTGAGCGCTGCAGGAGCAGATTGAGTTAATCAGCAGTGAGCAGATTTCTTGTTTGAAAGCAGGTCGGGAGGAGACGTCACGAATGCTAGCAGGGAGGGCATTGTAGTATTCTAGGGACTTGTACAGTGGGGAGTCTTTACAGCGATCGGTTCTGGAGGGTGGGAGGTGCCAAGTGCGTGCGTGTCGAAGGCTGTACTGGGCCGTAACTTGAGCGGGGGTGTTGAGCATGCGTATGTGTTGTGAGGCATATTGGTATTTTATGGAGTGGCGAGAGAACATTGTCGGCCATTTGAGCCGATGGAGCAGTGTTGAATGATTCAGAGGAGTGTAGAGGGGGAGACGGAGGCAGATTCTGGCCGCCTTGCGCTGGATTCGCTCAAGACGGTCAAGGGCTGCGGTTGAGAGTGGGGTGACAGCAATGCATGCATATTCAATTATAGGCAGGATATATGTTTTGTAAATGAGAGAGAGTGATTTAGTGTGTAGAGTTGATTTCAGCCTAAAGAGAATATTAAAAGATTTTACGGCTTTCTTCAGCACAAAGTCAAGGTGGGCTGACCATCTTAGGGCGTGCTGAAAGATGATGCCGAGGTGACGATGTTGTGTTACTGTTTCTAGTAGGGTTTGCCCAAGTTTTATTTCGGGTGGTCGTGGTGGGGGTCGGTTAGCATGGTAGAACGGGAGGATGACGGTTTTTTCGTTTTATTGACTAGCAGTTGCCAGCGCTCTAGCCATTCTGCTGCGGCATCGACGTTGTTGTTGTTTCAAATCTTTATTCTCACGATAGCCAGTGGCCAATAAGAGATAATAGTGTAAGAAAGGAGAAAGAGTGAGGAAGTTGTTGTTGTTGTTGTTGTTGTTGTTGTTGTTGTTGTCGTTGTTGTTGTTGTTGTTGTTGTTGTTGTTGTTGTTGTTGTTGTTGTTGTTGTTGTTGTTGTTGTTGTTGTTGTTGTTGATTGTGTTACTTTGTGTGTGTATGTGTGTGTGTGCGTGTGTGTGTGTGTGTGTGTGTGTGTGTGTGTGTGTGTGTGTGTGTGCGTGTGTGTGTGTGTGTGTGTGTGTGTGTGTGTTCTGAGTTGTTGAGTTGAGTGACGGTCGGGGGTTTTTTCCTCCGTCTTCTGCGAGTTGTTTCAGCCATGACTGACTTCTGGCTAAGGCCAGAGCCAGCCGTAGTGACAGGAACATTAGATGCTGAACAAGACGACGTACATCTTGTCGTCGCGGGCGAGGAAATAAATCAGTGTCGACACCATGGTCACTTCCGATGTGACCACTCGTACTGAACCTCGTCCGCCTGAGCGCAGAGGCTCTGCAAACCCCCGCCTAGAGTTCGGCTCGCAACGTGCACCAGCAGCAAGGAGATTTGTGTTGTCCATGGGGACGTGGAACGTCACAACTTTGGTGAACGTGGACGGCGATTTGAACACTGCCTCAAAAAATATCAAAAATTCAAAAAGACTGCTCCGCGAGGAGAGAAAAATCGATCTTGTTTGCCGGCAACTGCAGCGCTACAGCATGGACATCGTTGGACTTCAGGAGACCCTCTGGTTTGGAACTAATTCCTACCAAGTCGACGACTGTCTCGTCTTGGCGAGTGGCCGTCCGACTCCGTCTCATGGGGAATTGGCGCGGCAGGGTGAAGGAGTTGCAATTGTATTGCGCGGTTGTTCAGGGACGCATTTGTTCGCGGTGGCTCGCAGTGGACAGGGCACAGCTCGAGACTGATTTCCGCCAGGGTTAAATTTGAAACAAGCCAAAGACTGTGAGAAGTTCGGATTGACTGCTAAGGGAGGCTGGGAATGCATTCGGAACATCAAGACTGTATTAAATGGTTTGTACCCCCAGGTGTCAACAGCAATCAAAGATCGTCAGGGTGAGGTGTGTGACACCCCGGACGCTGCAAATACCGGTGGAGGGAGCATTTTAGCGGACTGCTGAATGTTGCCAGTGAGTATGAGCCGAACATATTTGACTCTTTTCAGCACCGGCCGGTTGCAGCGGATCTTGCTGGCGTCCCCGACCGCGCTGAGGTGCACTGTGCGCTGCTGTCCATGAAGAGCGGGAAAGCCTGTGGTAAGTCTGAGGTAGCTACGGAGATGCTCAGGCATGGTGGTCCCGCTCGGATTGACAAACTACTGCAACTTATCAAGGCTGTGTGGGATGCTGAGCGTGTGCTGCAGGATTGGGCAGATGCTATATTGGTCCCTATTCCTAAGAAGGGCGACCTGGGTGCGTGCGATAACTGGCGCGGGATCTCGTTGCTTGATGTGGCTGGAAAGTTGGTGGCCCGGATCATTGCCGACCGTCTACAAACTGTTGCAGAGGATTGTTTACCTGATTCTCAAAGTTGTTTCCGGAGAGAAAGAGTGAAAAAGTGGTCTGAGGTGCCGTGACGGAGTTGAGCACATCGTCAACATCAGGACTCAACCGGTAAAGAAGCCGTTCCAATGACCGGTTTGCCACCGTAGTTTTCGTCGACGGCAGGATGAGAGTCACCACAAATGTAACGCAATGAGACACTCTCGTCCAGCGCCCTGATGGACGGCACAACTCCGTAGTTAAGAAAGTAGAACCCCCTACACACCATGACAAATGTTACTCGTAAGGTTGACTGACCGGTTTCATCTTTGTTTCAAGAATCATCAGAGTGAGGAAATGAGTAACGAAAAATACATTAAATAGCAGGGCCAACTCACTTCACCAAAGGTATCTATAACACATGTGGACCCGATAACGCCGCTGGGAGCCCAAATATAAATAAATATTTCAGTGAAATATACCAATATGTTTTTGGCTGTGTCAATTATATTATTGACACTGCCAAAAACATATTTCCATTTACGGATAAGACTGGAAGTTTCAGTGAATAAATATTTCAGTGAAATATACCAACATGTTTTTGGCAGTGTCAATAATAAGAATAAATATTTCAGTGAAATATACCAATATGTTTTTGGCTGTGTCAATAATATTATTGACACTGCCAAAGTGACTTAAAGCATGTTTTGTACCTTGTCTGAAGAGGGCCTAAGCTAGGGATGTGCGGATATTGCTCGAAAAGGTGGCAGATTCCGCTCGAAAAGCAGTGAAATTGGCAGAACCATACAAACATTATGGCGGGCGATTCCTCGAATTCTGCTCCATTTCTTTATCCACGTACCTAACATGCATGAAACTTACCAGAAAAAGTACCGAATTCTGCCAACTTTTCTGCCGGCATTAGAGAGGTTCCGCATAACGTAATTACGTTAGTAAAAAACGTAGTTGATCTACGGAAAGTCTCACGTAAACTGCATGCGCATCTGGGTTCCGCCATACGGAGTTATCAAATCACGTAGCTGCCCTTGGCAACTCCGAACGCGGCAGTGTACGACCAGATCGACCTGGGGAGAGAGTCATAAATTTGTACCCCAATCCACTTACGGACCAGCCACGTTATCAGAGCCCTATCTACGACTTTCTACGTACTCTCCGTAGAGAACTTTCCGCAAGTGGAGTGCAAACTCGCGAATTCACGGGTTTTTCCCGCCCACTAACGTAAAGTAGCTCAACTTTACGTAGTGCGGAACCTCTCTAATTATCCGCATATGCCTCGCCGAAGCACTGTAAAACCGGAAAATTTCGGAAGAGATTTATTTTTGGTAACTTCGGTACAGTTAAGTTTTTACCTAAAATTCAACCATACCATGATGCCACACAGTGTTCAAAATGCATTTTTGGATCCGGAAAACTGGTTTACCAAACTTTTTGCGCTACCGAACTGTTGATTTTGGGAAATACCGAAAATATTACACCACCGGCAATTCCCGTTTTACAGAACTAGTACATAGACATGCGAATGACTCTCATTTTTGTGAGAATGCCGATATGGACACGGCCATCTTGTTCCCAGGCCACGGCCATCTTGTTCCCAGGCCACGGCCATCTTGTTCCCAGGCCACGGCCACCGTGCCGTTATTGGCGTTATTGTGATTCTTCATTGGTTGGCATTGTGCCCAAGGTTGAATGCATGTACAGTAAACCTGAAGAATAACAGCCCCAGATATAACAACAACCTCGCGAATAACAGCACTTTTCTTGTGGCCGACTAAGGGTCGCTATTCGCAAGGTTGATTGTTTTCAAATTGGTGTTTACTCTTGCCATCAGAATTACTTCGCCACACAAGAGTCGCTGCACTATCCTTTCTGAGACATTGTGTTCTAGCGCTTCTTTTCTGACCTGTCGTAAACTTTATTTTAAAGCGAGCATGAACACAGGCATAATATGCTTAGTAACAGTGGACTGTTGTTCTGTGTCCATTTTGCTTCTTAATGTCACCAGGTGCTGTTACTTTCGGAGTCAACCCGAAAAACGAATCCCAAATACAACTGTGGTTTGTACCAGTTCCAGACTGTGCAGGACTGGATGCGATCCCATGTTTACGAGCTGGCCAAGGCACTTTTATAGAAGCTGTTGATGCATGTCATCATTGGGGCTTGTCGTCTCCCTATTATAAAGCGGATCTAAAATTTATTGGACAAAACGCCCGAAATTTCCTGAAAGACATTCTTCTTACTACGCTTTACCCAACTCTATACTTTCAGACGATTGGAAGTGGACGCTTTTCCCCCCAGTACTACTTCAACATTGACAATGTTGAGAAGGGGGGCAGTACACCGTCCCGAAGGCAGAGAGTCAGTACATTCAATGTCTTGTGTACAGGTAAGTCGGTTGCTTCTTGTGCCGCGGCCATTGTTCGCCGTTACCCCTCTTGTCTGCACGGTTATGTGTGACCAATCGAAGAAAATAGATAGAAAATATAAATAGGTTAATAGGACGGAAATCAGGGAGCTGACAGTGACCAGCTACAACAAGAGTACACACTCAGGTTCGAGGTTAAAAATTCTCCGTTGAAAGTGTTGGCGCGGCGTGTCCATGTAGCTGAGCGGCTGGAAATCACCGTGTGAATTCTGGTGGCATTGTTCACTGCGGAATGGGGCCAAGGATTACACGCACCCACTCCCTGCAGACTGTGTTCTCCAGGTACTGGAGACAGCAGGTACTGGAGACAGCAGGTACTGGAGCCTAGTACCATTGTTCTACAATTCTTGACCATGCCCATCAAATTATGTCATTCAGTATCACCTCTGGCGAGCCTTTTATAGCAAAACAAATGCTGTCCCAGTTATTATTATTATTATCCGCGTGCTAGTTTGTACGTGAAGTGTGTGGGTTACAGTGAGGGCTGCGTCCCACCCGCCTGTGTGGATTCACAGGAAGTGTGAGTTACGAAGTCTGAAGAAAATATTGAAGGGCCTCTGCTGGGATGACGACTACACCATAGCTCAGTGGTTAGAGCATCGCTGGCTACAAGCGAGGGTCCCTGGTTCGAGTCCTGGTGGTGACAGTCAATTTTTTCTTCAGACTTTTCCCGTTTGTCTCTTTCCCTCAAACCAGTTAATATTTTATGACTTGGGGCTCCCCGCGTGCTAGTTTGTACGTGAAGTGTGTGGGTTACAGTGAGGGCTGCGTCCCACCCGCCTGTGTGGATTCACAGGAAGTGTGAGTTACGAAGTCTGAAGAAAATATTGAAGGGCCTCTGCTGGGATGACGACTACACCATAGCTCAGTGGTTAGAGCATCGCTGGCTACAAGCGAGGGTCCCTGGTTCGAGTCCTGGTGGTGACAGTCAATTTTTTCTTCAGACTTTTCCCGTTTGTCTCTTTCCCTCAAACCAGTTAATATTATTATTATTATTATTATTATTATTCTTGTATCCGCCCCGAATGGGACTCACGACTAGGGTCCAGCGGATAATGCTCCGAAAATGTTCGTATAATGCTAACCATAATGCTCCAAAAACTGCCTTATAATGCTGATTATAATGCTTCAGGAAGGGATATAATGCTCTTTGTTTGGGACAAAAATGGAAGAAAGTCTGCACATTTTCAAACTTCCAGGAAATTATGCACATCGCCGATCTGCATCTGAAGCTGCCACCTTATCTCTCACGAGCTCCACCACTTTTTAGCACTATAAGACATGATCGCTTCTCCATTGATTGCTCTCCATTCCAACTTTGATGCAGGGTTGCGGCAGAATAGTCGGTGTATCAAATACCTCCCCTAATTATCCATGTAGTGAGAGATGAAACCATTATTGCAGGTAGTCATTCATTGTTGGGATGAAGTTAATCTTGGCAAATAGTATTCCTGTCTGCAGACAAGCTGTCACTGTGTCCACTCTGTGAATAATGTCTACATCTGAAACACCATACTTGAGGCCAGCTCCTGAGATCCGATCTCAGATGGAGAGACCTCCCATTTGCAGAAATCCTGAAAACACGTGGTCAGAAGTTATTTTGCCACTCTACATCCTTTGCTTGTGCTCTCATCTTCTCCTTGAGATGGTGTGTAGACGTATGGCTTGCCACAATACTCTTCCTTTCTGATAGCATTGGACTGTAGGCCTGGCATTACTACCGTCCACAACTAACTGTACGTTCTTCATTAGGAAAGTAAGACAGGCGCTGCTCAGAAATCGACTTGGTACTGAGTCCATGAGAAATTCTAGTTCTTTTCGAGCCTCCAGAGCTGGACTCGGCAAAGGCAGTTCTTTTGGAATGAGCTATTTCTGTTTATAGCCGCTCCTTCATCCTGGTCCAAATTTAGCAATGCATCAGTGTCTACTTCAGTATCGCTAGAGATGCTATCGCCAGAGCCTCTGGCACAACTAGAAAACTCTTCTTCGTCTGTTTGATATTCACTTCGCGTATGTCTCCTCCATAGCTCTCCATTATTCCAAGAGTAAAAGAAACCTCGTAAATAATTTCTCCGGATTTGTGTCACTTGAACTGCCTCGGCCTCGGTTTGGCATGCTTCACAAATGGCTTGTATACGTTTACCTGACCACATCGCTACAATCATAACGTTTTTATGTAGCAATAGTTATGTAGCGTTAGTGCTAAAGGTGTTACGTGTAGATCTACGCGTCTACACAAAGTCATGCACCGGTACAATGCATAGTGCTCAAATGCCCGGAATGGGAAAAGCGTAGTACGCAAGAGGTACACAAAAGGAGTAAAATAGGGCTGTTTCATTGTTACTCAGAGTTTCATGGCAAAAACTAATCATCAGACAACATCTCATGATCATGATTGTAGCCGATTATTGCCAAAAACCTGGAATTTCCCGATATTATCCACAATGAAACTCGTTATTCCGCTCAAATCTCACACAATGCTCGTTTTGTTCCTTTCTAATGCTCCATAATGCTCTGATGCTCGGATAGTCGTATAATGCCGAATATAATGCCAGTATCCGCTGGACCCTACTCACGACGGCAGAATTGACTGTGAGCATGTGCGTGTGCGCGCGCGCGTGTGTGTGTGTGTGTGTGTGTGTGTGTGTGTGTGTGTGACTTCTCTTTCGTCCCCGGAACACCACAGGCGGTGTGTGTCCCATATGGTGCAGTGGTATGTGCAGTCGATTTCCAATCGAGAGATTGCGGGTTCAATTCCCGACGATTATGGTCGCACACGTCTTTCTTCTCTTTCTCGGACTCTTCCTGACTTTTCTTTCATTCTCCTGGGTGGTTACCAACAGCCAGTGTATGCCGGAGTATGTGGTGTGGTGTGTGTGCGTAAAAAAAATGGAAAAATGAAAAATAGGGATTCACTGGCCAGAAAAAGTCACTTCAAACAGCTGTGTGGTGGATACCAGGCTAAAAATAGTGGCGGTCAATTCATCAGCCTTGCAACCTGTTGAATGGTGTAATCCCAGCACAAGTTGCTATGTCTAACATAGCTGTTCGCTATCATCGCTTCCGCGATGGGCATGTCTGAGGTCTGAGGTGTGTGTGAGTGGGAGAACGAAATGAAAAAGAAAAGAAGAGTTTTGTAATAAAGGTCGAATTTAAGAAGAGCAGTACTAGCCTAAATGGCTGAGCAGATGTTACTTCCTTGTTTTCTGTCGCGGGCATAGCTGCCGAGATCACGAAGGGAGCTGGGCTTAAAAATGCAGATAGTTGTGAGGCGGACGTCTTGCTGGAGACTTGTGGTGAGGCAAGAGCAGGGTGCACCTATTCGAAAGGGCTGGCTGGTAGCATATATACAGAAAGCAGTGAGAGCAACATTTTCAGGGATATCACTTGGCTGGCGTAATATAATAATATTATTCCCGTAGCTATGCAGAAGACGTCACTTCAGTAAAGTCTGGCGCTAGCCAGGGTCCACACAGCTTTAATTTGGTATTTGTTTGTCTGTTTGTTTGTGTCATGCCTGGCACAATCCCGTATCTGTCTCGTACCGTACCGTACCATCAAAGACAGCTGGCCACAAACATGGAGGAACTATTGCCGATGACGGCAATTGTGCTAAAGACTATACTAGAGCATCGTACATGCACGTGGAGCAGCACAGCATGCACTGCGCCGTTCACTGGGCAAGTGGGCATGCAGTTTCACACACACGTTTTTCCTTGCAATAATTTGTACAGGATCAGCTAGGCGTTGGTTCATCACAGGTTCCGGATTCGTCTGATAATCCGTGTACAGTGCGCATTGCATCATCAAAATGATGTCAACTTGAAATTCTGTCGGGACAGCACCCATAGCCGAGTAGCACACTCTTGGGGGTTATGTACTCTTGGTTTCACCAAGAGTACATAACCCCCCAGAGTGTGCAACTCCACTATGGGTGCTGTCCCGACAGAATTTCAAGTTGACGTCATTTTGATGATGCAATGCGCACTGTACACGGATTATCAGACGAATCCGGAACCTGTGGTTGACCGAAGCTGATCGATCCTGTACAAATTATTGCAAAGAAAAACGTGTGATGCGTTGACACCCATACACATGTTGTAAATCACTGCTGCAAGGAGCATTGCGTCATAAATAATGAGGTCAACTTGAAATTCTGTCGGGACAGCAGGGTATGTGGGAGTTGCACACTCTGGGGGGTTATGTACTCTTGGTTTCACCCATTAGGTATAGACCTTATTCGATAACGTAATTTTTGGACTCGCCTCCAGGGATTTGTTGTAAGCTGGGGCACGCGTACGTGAAACGAGTGGCAAGAAAGGCCCAGTTCGTACAAGGGAGTAGTAAAATACCGGTAAGTTCCCACGCCGAGTCCTCTGTGCACTGAGTGTAGGTCTCTTGCCACTCCCTGGTTCCCGGGACCCCGGTTCACGTGATTGTGACGTTTATCGAATAAGGTCTATATGCGGATTATGCCGGCAGAAAAATTGGCATAATTTGGTACTTGTTTCTGGTAAGTTTCATGCATGTTTGGTATGTGGATAAAGAAATGGAGCAGAATTCGAGGAATTGCCCGCCATAAGGTTTGTATGGTTCTGCCAGTTTCACTGCTTTTCGAGCAGAATCTGCCACCTTTTCGAGCATTTTCCGCCAATGCCTATCACCCATGGCGATTATGGGTGTTTACATGGAGGTGCAGGTCTAGAAAATAGGACACGCGTGAAGACACTCATCGCCTGGTCGAGTACTTCAGACGTACACGGGCGTGTTATTATTTTTATTATTATTATTATTAAGTAGTGGTTGCGACTTCGGCGATGATTTATAAGAAAGGGTTTGCTCCCCACACCGGAGCTCGCGCTATTCCGCCGACGTTACTTGACACTTGACTGACTCACGACTGCCATCCAGAGCACACGAGAAGTCCATCGAACCTTCGACTCGGCAAACCTGCAAGAAAGCACCACTCCCTGCTCAATACACAGTGTTTCGGGGAATTCACCCCTCATCAGTTGAGCTTGAGTAGGCTGAGGAAGATTGTGCCTGAAGAGCACCACTTATATAGTGCTCTCCAGGCACAAACATCACCAGGGATACAAACTTACAGATACGCTCCGTTTCCAGCGCGACAAACACCTCGTGAACACCAGATAGCAGCGTGAGTCAGCGTCGCTCCTGGACGGTGAGACAGACGTCGAGGACCCTCGGTCATTCGCAACGCTGTCACCTCCAAACCAACTAGTCGCAAGCCCGTGCTAGGCACAACAATACGAAGTAGTGGTTGCAACTTCGGCGATGATTTATAGTTTGCTCCCCACACCGTCCAGGAGCGACACTGACCCACGCTGCTATCTGGTGTTCACGTGGTGTTCACGAGGTGTTTGTCGCGCTGGAAACGGAGCGTCTCTGTAAGTTTGTATCCCTGGTGATGTTTGTGCCTGGAGAGCACTATATAAGTGGTGCTCTTCAGGCACAATCTTCCTCAGCCTACTCAAGCTCAACTGATGAGGGGTGAATTCCCCGAAACACTGTGTATTGAGCAGGGAGTGGTGCTTTCTTGCAGGTTTGCCGAGTCGAAGGTTCGATGGACTTCTCGTGTGCTCTGGATGGCAGTCGTGAGTCAGTCAAGTGTCAAGTAAAGTCGGCGGAATAGCGCGAGCTCCGGTGTGGGGAGCAAACCTTTTCTTATAAATGAAATATATAAATAAAATGGTGTTGTACTGGGCGGGCCGTAATTACGGGCTTTTACCAGGTATTTTTTTTAAATTGTCCTGCTGACAGTCATGACATCTTATTATTTCCCATGCTGTTCATATTGGATCATATTAATCTATCATACTACTTCATTTTTCAAGATAGCCTAGGAACTGTGGCATCTTTTATGATCCGCAGCAAGAAGGCAGCGATACCTGTACCTATGGTGAAGTAAAATTAAAGGTAACATAACATATGGTATTTGAACACTTTGCTTCTGACCGTACGCTGCTCCGCATAGTTATTACTGGTATCATTCTTATGAAATGACCCAAAGGCAATATGCCTATCGAGAAAGATAGAGAGGTTCTGCACTCCGTACAGTTGAGCAACTTATTTAACACGTAAAGTGGGCAGGAAAACCGGTGAATTCACGAGTTTTCACTGAGTACGTAAACGGAGCTCTACTAACGGAGATGCTCTTAAAGGGGAAGTTAAGGCAAAGATTAAATTTCACCAGTTGTAGTCTTCGGGGTGCTGAGTTGAATGGCCTTGGTCCGAGGAAGCTGAGATGCTCCCTTCCTACTTGAATCCCAATCGAACTCGCACACTTCCACCGAAACGGGGTGACTGCGCCCTACTAGATGGGGATTTGTATGCAAAATGTCACTAAAAGCGCCATTTCGTTCTTATAAAAGCACGGCTGACCGCGATTGGCCCATATGTTGTAGTCTTTTGGACGCTGAGTCGACTGGTTTTGGTCCGAAAAGGCTGCGATGCAGCGTTCCTCCTTTATTCCCAATCGAACATGGTTGTTGTGAAACCACAAGTTCTCGAGAGTGAAAGGCCTTCTCGCTTGTGACATTGTGTTCGTTCCAATGCAGTTGTATCCCGACTCCGCCGTACCGTTGATGTTTACGACGTAGTATACGCTACATGCGCTATGTGCGGTTTGCTGTGTGCGCTGTAGTTGTATGTTGTATGTGTATGCTTTTCTCATATACGCTGTCATTTTCACACTATAACTACCTGGTGGTTTTAGTGTTAGTTATTCAGTTGTTCATTCATTGTTCATTATTATTAGTCGATGGAAGTGAAAGATATTGTTGAGAATAAATAGTTGTCCTCGTGCCGTGTGGGGTCGTTCGTTCCTGACACTTTAGAGAACCAGAGGGTTCACAACATTTGGCGACCACACCAGGATACGAAGCGAGCATGGCACAGGAACTATGGATCATTGAAGCCAGCTTTATCGCCAACGGAATTCGGTATGGATTTGAAGGCGATAGGTTGAGAGAATACATGGAGAAGAGGTTCCGACAGAGCGAGGAGTTTGAAGAGCGCAGTGCTAGAAGGCAAGAGTGTGCGCTCCGTGCAGAGTTTAACGAAAAGCTCAAGAAGATGGCCGAGCGCATCGCCGTCAGTACATATTATGGGGAAGCAAAGCGAGATTTGCTTGCCTCGCCCGGAAGGACGCCGGACAAGGCGTGTAAGACTTTGCTTACAGACAAGCAGCGGTCAGAAGAGTACTTGAAGCGAGTGGGAGGATCAGATCCAAGGCCCACTGCATGGCGACATCGGTCGGAGACGCTCAGAAGCAGCTGGAGTCTCGGCCGAACGACGTAGAGGCGCAAGACGTAGAGGCGCAAGACGTAGAGGCGCAAGACGTAGAGGCGCAAGACGTAGAGGCGCAAGACGTAGAGGCGCAAGACGTAGAGGCGCAAGACGTAGAGGCGCAAGACGTAGAGGCGCAAGACGTAGAGGCGCAAGACGTAGAGGCGCAAGACATAGAGGCGCAAGACGTAGAGGCGCAAGAGTTAGAGGTGCAAGACTTAGAAGCGCAAGGCGTAGAAGCCGAGAAAATGAGAAGGGCGATACTGGTTAGCACGGAAGAGGTAAGCGGCGAGACTGTGTGGAACATGGAGATTAGATGTATGTTATCCGGTCCAGCGTCCGCCCCACGAGGCAGTGGCCCAGTAACGGTGTCATGTGTGGCAGCCAAGATCTGCAAGCTTATCGGTTGTGTGTTGTCTGGTCCATCGTCCGCCCCATGTCGAAGTGGATCGGCGACAGTGTCGTGTGCAACAGCCCACAGCGGCAAGCTTCGCGATGTCGAGTTTTCTGAATTGGTGGGCATTAGTGATATTCTACCATGGCCACCACCGCAGCAGCAGATGACGCGTAGTAAGCCCCAAATCGCTTGACTTGTGAGTTGTTGTACGGCAGTGAGAAGCCCTTTGGTGGGGAGAATGTTGTGAAACCACAAGTTCTCGAGAGTGAAAGGCCTTCTCGCTTGTGACATTGTGTTCGTTCCAATGCAGTTGTATCCCGACTCCGCCGTACCGTTGATGTTTACGACGTAGTATACGCTACATGCGCTATGTGCGGTTTGCTGTGTGCGCTGTAGTTGTATGTTGTATGTGTATGCTTTTCTCATATACGCTGTCATTTTCACACTATAACTACCTGGTGGTTTTAGTGTTAGTTATTCAGTTGTTCATTCATTGTTCATTATTATTAGTCGATGGAAGTGAAAGATATTGTTGAGAATAAATAGTTGTCCTCGTGCCGTGTGGGGTCGTTCGTTCCTGATACTTCAGAGAACCAGAGGGTTCACAACAATGGTTGAACAAGCGGTCACGTGCTCCTGGGTGCCCAAATCACCTGGTCACCAAGCCAGCAGGCGACAACTATCACACCAAGGTTCAACTCGAGTGACAGGACTGCACCCAAAAAAGGTCAAACAGGCTAGTAAGTTGTACCCTGCAGGCACGGTGACCAGGTGACTGGCGTACGCAGGAGCACGTGACCGCTTGTTCAACCATGTTCGATTGGGAATAAAGGAGGAACGCTGCATCGCAGCCTTTTCGGACCAAAACCAGTCGACTCAGCGTCCAAAAGACTACAACATATGGGCCAATCGCGGTCATCCGTGCTTTTATAAGAACGAAATGGCGCTTTTAGTGACATTTTGCATACAAATCCCCATCTAGTAGGGCGCAGTCACCCAGTTTCAGTGGAAGTGCGCGAGTTCGATTGGGATTCAAGTAGGATGGGAGTGTCTCAGCTTCCTCGGACCACGACCATTCGACTCAGCACCCCGAAGACTACAACTGGTGAAATTTTAATTTTTGCCTTGACTTCCCCTTTAAGTAGACTGGGGTATAAATCTTGCTGGAAATCCAGCACCTGTACCGACCTCTATAAGCTTCAAACCTAGTAGAGCCGGTACAGAAAGGTAGAATCTACTCTTTTGAGTAGAAATAATGGAACGCATCTACCGGAAGAGGTAGTGTCTACTCAAACCTGTAGATCAAAAATGAACGCTCTTTTAGGGGGTCAGCCTGCTGGCTTTCAATACGGACTACTTCGGGATTGAGCAATTCTTTCGGACACGTTTCTGTGTGTTTTTTTCCTTTGGGAGCATGTGGAAGCGTGTGTGCGGGCATGCGTTTGTAGTCGTTGTACATGTACCTGTTTGTCAGTAGGGAGGTTTAGTCCCACTGTCCCACGCAATCCGTGTGTACTTTACGTGTGTGTACCACGTGATACTCAGTGACCCATGTACAGACGTTTTCTTATTCACGACATACCGTGTATGGAGGATCACGCACGTTCCGCCACAACGTGGGTGAAAATCAGAATGGAGCGCATGGTGCAAGCTGTGAGGGTGCTCAGTTGAAGAAGTTTCCGAAGCACGAAATCACAATATTCGATGAGCTTCAAAGCTTCGTCTTTGACCACGTTTGGGCCTTTCGCTCCTTGCTTTTGTTTGTTCCGTGCAACTAAATACAACTTTGCGAACGCGGGTCCATTGCATGAACTTTACGCGTATCACCCACGTTCCCATATCCGTTACGTGGGACTAAACCTCCCTAGTACTTGTCACCGGGTACTTACTTGTTATATGTGTGGATGTGCTTTCTTTTGCTGCAACACCACGCAGCTATTTGGACTTACAGCAAGACTGCCTGGGAACACAAGAGAGTGGCAGTACGATATAGGCAACCAAGGTCAAATTACGGTTATCAAGAACTCATGCCGAACGTGGTGCTTCGTGCAGTGCCCACGCTATGCGCAGGTATCGGAATGCGAATGCTGGGAGAAGACGAATATAAGCAGAAGCCAAGCTCTTTCAACAGGTTTTTGAATAGTAACGGTGTCGATCCAACCGACAACGGTCTGCCAGTACTAGGTGAAGATGGCGTTATCAAGGTCTTCACTCTTAATGATAACCAGTTGGAGCGGGATGACACAGAGTACCCAGTTTGCATCCGTAAGCTTCAAGAATAGCATTACCTTCAATACTCATGTTTCGCTTCTTCTCTGAAATTTCACACTGAGAAAAAGGACACACTTCAGACTGTCCAACATCACTTTGAAAGTTTTTCACTAGTACACTTTCAAGCCTTGTCGTGAGGTGAAGCACAGAGTCTGAAGAGCCTGAAGTCGGTCCTTTTCTCAGTGTTGTTGCTTTCGTGTCCTCGAGGAAACTCTTCTCTGAGTTTTGCTCCGGGGGGGGGGGGGGGGGGGTTGGCTGCAGTGCAGTCTCAATGCCGCTATACAACGGGAGCCCCTTTAACGACCACTCCATTTTCCGCCGTACCGTCGTGTCTTGTAGTTTAAAAGTTTCTATTAAAGCCTGTCTCTTATGGAAGCCTGTTTTGAGTGCAAGCCTGACTTTCAAGACAAGCCTGGTTTTGATGTTTACATAAGTAAAAATAACTACTAGTAGTTTCAATAGATGCCTAGTCCTGGCATTGGCTTCTACAGGACTAAGCTCGGCTTTAATACACAGCATTACCGGCATTCAAAACAATGCCAATGCTGCCTCCGGAGTCCAGACTCTGGACCATTTTCTCCGACCAAGTTTTGTTTTTCTGAAAGCCCAGTGCTATGTCTTGACTCTTGACCCTTAACTTGACATTTCACACAGTCAAGTACCATGCTCCACTGCTCCAAAAGGTGCTCAATACCCATATGGGACAGAGCCTTCCCATTACAACTCAGACTGAGACAAGGTTGTTACCGGTATTTCATAAGGCAACAAACAAGTCACTTCCAGGACTGGGAAGACAGAATAAACAACAAGAGGGCAAGGAAGCACAGGTTGGCCTGCGTGCATGCATAGTCCTAGTGATGTCTTAGTGACGTCAACACATAAGACATGTACATGGATATCACATCACTCCAACCCTAGATGCAACAAAGACTATTAAAGTACACAATATCTTCAGACTTTTCCCCGTTTGTGTCTTTCCCTCAAACCAGTGAATATCTTATGACTTGGGGCTCCTCGCATGCTAGTTTGTATGTGAAGTGTGCGGGTTACAGTGAGGGCTGCGTCCCACCCGCCTGCGTGGATTCACAGGAAGGGTGAGTTACGAGGTCTGAAGAACATGTTGACGACTACACCATAGCTCAGTGGTTAGAGCATCGGTGGCTACAAGCGAGGGTCCCTGGTTCGAGTCCTGGTGGTGACAGTCAATTTTTTCCTCAGACTTTTCCCGCTTGTGTCTTTCCCTCGAACTAGCGAATAAACAATAACAAATAAGTTGAAATAACAAATCACCTGTAGAAACAGAAACGGAAGACATGGTGGAATATAGCTGTAAACACAGAAATAAGACAGCAGATCTAACTGAAAGTAGCTATGATAGAACTGTTACACGTCCAAATGGACGGGCGCCTGAATAGCTCCAGCTGAGCAATGCGGATGAACAGCAGGAGTCGACCCAGCTGACTGCGACTTTGGGAGCGTGACTAATTCTGGTGGTGGAGGAACTGGTGAGGCAGATACGACTGTTCGCACAGAATCAACTGATGGCTGTAGTTCGGATGCGTCTGAATCCGGCACAGATGGTGTCGACACTGGATGGTTCAGAGATTGACCAGATGGAATAACAGCTGGATATGCGGCTGCTGCCTGTTCTGGCGCAGAAACAGGTGTCTCCTCGGCCGGCAATCGTGGGAGGATGTGGTCACTGTGCCGTTTCCACAATCTGGCATTGGGTAGGCGCACCGTAAATGTGGCTGGGCCTAGACACTCTTCAAGAACTCCATCAATCCATTTAGGTGAGCCAGCAAAATTGAGACAGGACACAGGGTCGCCACAACAGAAGGATGACTAGTGAGCCGGGTGGCGGTCTACGGCTGCTTGCTGTCAGCTGAAAATCTCCGTAGACGTGTCCAGAATGTGAGGTCAAGACGGGACCGTGGCTTAGGACCCATCATGAGTTGAAATGGACATTGACCAGTAGTTGATTGTGGCGTAAGGCGATACTGAAACAGGAACCGATACAGACGGGATTCCAAATCGGAACCACCAACAGACTTCTTCAGCGCATTCTTGACGGTTTGTACAGCACGCTCAGCTAGGCCATTGCTGACTGGGTGGTACGGAGATACCGGGGCATGCTTGACACCATTAGCAGAACAGAATCGTTGAACTTCGTCGCTGGTAAATGCTGAGCCGTTGTCGGAAACAAGTTGAAGCGGCAGTCCGTGGATTGAAAATGTCTGAAAGAGCTTGACAATAGTTGAAGCCGATGTTGCAGACGATACCAGGTGGGCTTCAATGACCATACTGAAACTGTCAATGACCCCGTCACCATGTCCACGATTCACGCCTGCGATGCTGCACCGCTGCTTTGCATGTCATGATTGGAAGCTGTGGCCTTAGTAAAAAAAACGACAACCAGGAGCATCTTGCCCTCAACTGGTCCTGCGTAATTGACATGCAGACGTACCCATGGTTTACCTGGCCATTGCGAGGGATGCAGCGGCTGAAGGGAGGGTGACTTCTGAATGGCTTGGTACAGTTGGAAGACTCTTGACCTCGAGCTCTATCTCGTCGGCAATAGATGGCCACCAGATGTATCTGCGGGAGAGGGCTTTCAGCCGGGTTATGCCCGGGTGACGTGCATGTAATTCTTCCAGGAGCGTCTCACGGCCTTTTGGTGGAATAATAACACGTGAGCCCAGCAAAAGACAGCCACTTATCACTGAAAGCTCATTACGGCGACGCGTATGCTTTATAATCCACGGGGATGTTGTCCGGCCAACCTTCTTGGACGTACTTGAGGACAAGTGACAACACCAGATCTTTGCTTGTCCATTGAGCAATGGTGGTGGATGTGACCGGAGTGTTCTCCAGGACAGACACCGACAGAACGACTTCGGCTGGTGTTGGGACTTCTGGTACCGATGAGGGTGATGGTAGCCGACTGAGTCCATCAGCATTACCATTGTTGCTGCCCAACTTGAACTGAAGCTGGTAGTCATAGCTTGCTAGTAGTAGGGCCCAGTGTTGGATGCGACCACTGGCCATCGGCGGAATCGGACGATCTTCCTGAAATAGACCAAGCAGAGTCTTGTGGTCAGTGTGCAGCACAAATGAGCGGCCAAGTAAATACTTATGAAAGGCGCTTGACAACGAACACCATAACCAGACCTTCTTTCTCGATCTGTGCATTGTTCTGTTCCACTGAGGACAATGTTCTAGATGCAAACACAGACCGGGTGCGCGTCTCCGTCCGCAGTGATGTGTGAGAGAACGGCACCAATACTATATGGTGACTCATCACAACTGACGACAATTGGCAGCTTCGGGTCGTAATGCACACCGCATGGTGCTTCTAGTAGCATGGCTTTGCTTATCTTAAAGGCAGACTGGTCACAGTCAGACCAACGACACTGCTTCTTAGAGAGCAATTCGTACAGGGGTTTCAACACAGTACTTAAGTTCCGCACAAACTTGTGACAGTAGTTGATCAAGCCCAAGTAGCTTCTGAGCTGCGATACGTTAGTTGGTGCCTTGGCGTCCAGCACATCTTGCACTTTCTCAGCTGTTGGCGTTATCATATAAGTTCTGGTTGAATCAATGATGTGGCCGATAATACAAACAGCAAAGGACCATGAACAGTTTGTGGCGACTCAGAGTTTCACGTCAAGACGACCCTCTTAATTGAATACACCATGGGGGGGGGGGAGGGGGCAAAAACAAGTGACAAAGATCCCAATTGATGGTCAATCATCCTCAGATACCAGAGCATATTGTGTGAAAATCATGTGTCGGATAGCGACCCGTGTTCAATCCCATCATCGTATCTCTTTATGCGTACATTCAGCAGGATTGCCACCACCACAATCACTTCCAAGGGGCAGGGGGCTGGACAAGTCGGGGCAGGGGGCTGGGCAAGTCGGGGCAGGGGCTGGGCAAGTCGGGGCAGGGGGCTGGGCATGCCGAGGCTGACTAATAACATGGAGGCTTGTACAAAAGTCGCGGCTAATTCCGTTTGCTTCGGAAATTTCACACAAAATCACAGGCTTCTATGTACGCAAGGTAGAACAATGAGACGATGAGTGTTTTTGAACATGAAACTCGGAGTAACGAGGAAGCTTTTTGATCTCTGTTATTCTGCCTTGTGTAGTTTTCTGGCTAAGGCCAGAGCCAGCCGTGGTGACAGGAACATTAGATAGGTTGCGCTGAACAAGGGGGCGTACATCTTGTTGTCGCGGGCGAGGAAATAAATCAGTGTCGGCACCATGGTCACTTCCGATGTGACCACTCGTACTGAACATCGTCCGCCTGAGCGCAGAGGCTCTGCAAACCCCTGCCTAGAGTTCGGCTCGCAACTTGCACCAGCAGCAATGAGATTTGTGTTGTTCATGGGGACGTGGAATGTCAGAACTTTGGTGAACATGGACAACGATTTGAACACTGCCTCAAAAAATATCTATAATTCAAAAAGACAACTCAGCGAGGAGAGAAAAATTGATCTTGTTTGCCGACAACTACAGCACTACAGCATGGACATCGTTGGACTTCAGGAGACCCTCTGGTTTGGAACTAATTCCTACCAAGTCGACGACTGTCTCGTCTTGGCGAGTGGCCACCCGACTCCGTCGGATGGGGAGTCAGCGCGGCAAGGTGAAGGAGTTGCAATTGTATTGCGCGGTCGTTCCAGGGACGCATTTGTTCACTGTGGCTCGCAGTGGACAGGGCACAGCTCGAGACTGGTTTCCGCCTGGGTCAAATTTGAGAGTGGACAGAACCATTCGCCGTTGTGTATTCACATCGCTGTCGGATATGCACCGACGTCCGCCAGACTGCGCACTGAAAAAACTGCGCTTTATGACAGCTTGCAGACCTACCCTCATTGGCAGCGTTCCAAAGTCAAGACCTGTATTGCATTCTTGGTGACATCAATGCTAGAGTTGGAGTTCAAGTGGCGAGGTGGATGATGAGTGGAGTCACGTGCGGGGGCAGCATGGTTTTGGTCGTATAAACTCAGCAGGAGAGGAGCTGCTCAATTTCTTGGCTAGAAGTGGAGCTGTTGTATGCAACACATTATTCAAGAAGAAGGAAATCCATAAACATACCTGGTTTCATCCACGCTACAAGCACCCGCACTGTATTGATTATTGCATCATACCACAAGCACATCGGTCGCAGTGTTTGGACTGCCAAGTAATACGTAATGCGGAATGCGACACTGACCATAAGTTTCCAGGCATGAAATATTGTCTAGGTGCCGTGCCGAGCTCACATGTCTCCCGCAATGTTGTTGGTCGATCGAAACCCATTGCTGTGTCGCGCCTGCGTAGTGGTGCTCCGGAGGATATGGAGGTTGCGTGTGAGAGATTTTCCAAAGGCATTGATGATGCACTGGAGAAGGTTTGGACCCCAAATCCGTCCATCGAGGAGTGGTAGAGTACCCTCAGGACGACCACCATCAACGTTGCCAGCGACTGCCTGGGTCGGGAAAGGCGCCGACTGCCAGAATGGTTTACAGACAAACGCACTGAGATCGAGTCGGTTCTCCGTGACCGGGACAGTTGTTACACAGCCTGGATGTCAACGCGGAAGGCCAGTGATCTGGAATTGTACAAAAAATCTCGAAGTGCGGCGTGGCGCACCATGCGGCGGCTGAAGCGGGACTGGCTGCTGAGACAGGCAAAGAATGGTGAATGGTTTGGCTTGATGGCGAAGAGCTGTTGGGAGTGCATCGGTAATATCAAGACCACCTTTTGTGGTAAGCGCCCCCGTACAATAACTTCTATCAGAAACAAGCAAGGAGAGATCTGTGATACGGCTGAGACCACGGGTGGAAGGTGGCATGAACATTTCGATGGCCTCCTGAGCATGGCCAGAGCTTACAACTTCCTCCTGAGCATGGCCAGTGCTTACAACTTGGATGTAGTAGACTCTATGGAGCAGTGGCCGGTTATGACGGATCTTGGTGTCGTGCCTGAGTGTGATGAGATTTGGCGTGCATTGCGAGGGATGAAGTGTGGCAAAGCATGTGGTGGATCCGAGATATCTGTGGAGATGCTGAAGTATGGTGGCCCTGCCCTGATTGCGAAGTTGCATGAACTGATACAGGTGGTTTGGGAGACTGGCAGCATTCCACAGGATTGGTCTGATGCTATCCTCATCCCCATCCCCAAGAAGGGTGACCTGGGGTCTTGCGACAACTGGCGCGGGATATCCTCACTGGATGTGGTTGGAAAGCTAGTTGCATGCATGATCACCAATCGTCTGCAGGTTCTCGGAGAAAGGTGCTTCCTGACTCGCAGCGTGGCCTCCGCAGGGGCAATGGTTGTTCGGATATGGTATTTGCTGTGCGGCAAATCTTGGAAAAGTTGCACGAACATGCCACGAAAGGTTTCGCTGTATTCATCGATCTGAGGAAAGCGTACGACTCGGTTCAGCGGAGTGCTATGTGGAGAGTGTTGGCCAGACTTGGCGTCCCAGGGAATCTAATCATTATCATCAGTTCCTTCCATAGCGACATGACTGCCAGTATCCGTGTGCGTGGAGACCTGCTTGCGCCGATTCGGGTTGAGAACGGCTTGCGGCTGGGTTTCACTATGGCCCCAGTTTTATTTAACCTTAACACGTGTGTGGTCTTTGAGAGATGGCGTGGCATGATTGCTGATGATGGTGAGCTGGGGATCCCACTCATCCAGTTTCGGAGAGAGCGACTGTTCAACACCAAATTGGCATCGCATCGCAGAATTCGGCTGACGGAGTGCGAGTTTGCAGATGATTCAACCCTGCTTGCAGTTATGCATGCTGGTGCTGGGAAGGCTCTATCCTCGTTCAGGGATGTAGTTTGTGCGTTTGGCCTTAGTGTCAATCTGTCCAAGACCAAATACATGGCATGGCGGCTGGGGTTGGTATTGTGGATGCCGACCATACCCCTTTGGATGGTGTTGTTGAAGACGTTGAGGCCTTTCACTATCTCTGTTGCCATGTTTTGCCAGACGCCCGGAGCTCGTTTGATGTGTCTCGGCGAGTTGCTGCTGCATCGGGTGCGTTCTGTTCGCTGCGGGAGTCGGTTTTCGACAGTGATAAATTCAGCATCGCCATTACGCATTGTGTGTGGAGTGACTGTCCTGGCCGTCCTTCTTTATGGCTCTGAGAGTTGGACCGTCGAGCAGCGTGATGTCCGTCGCCTGGAGTCCTTTCACCTGCAGTGCGTGTGTTCCATCCTGAAGGTGAATCGTGGCCGGCAGATAGAGGAGCACATCTCCTTTCTCAAGGTTCGCAAGATGTGGGGCGATGTGGAGGAGGTCGCGGACAAAGTCAGAGTCCGCCGACTTCGATGGCTTGGCCACGTGTCCCGCATGCAAGATCGAATCCCTCGTCAGCTGCTTTACGGCGCGTTACGGTCCAAACGTCCACCGCATGGACCCTGTAAGCTCTGGAAGGACTCCGCAAAGTGCGACTTGATGGCTGTTGGCGTTCCTCTGGAGCAGCTTGGTGACATAATGCCAGCTAGTTCGGTTCGTGGGTACACCTATGCCTGATTGCGTTGGGTCTGTTGTGAACAGGCTTGGCTGCTTGAACGTGTAATGTTATACCTGCCACCTTTGTTGGTTCCTGGGTGTTGGATCCCTGGACGGATACCTGGATGCCGTCAATCCTTTTTCTTCACCTTGTCCTCACCCACTTACTGAGGTGTGGTGAGCCCATAAGTGGGATCATCTTCAAGTCCACCCAGAGTTTTGGGGATTTCAGGGGGTGTCGGCCGTTGGGCGGTTCAATAGCCAATTCCAAGATTCCCTATGAGTCTCTCTCCTCTCTCCCGGGGAGACCCACTTGACCAGTTTTGGCAGTTTTGGCAGTGAGCAACAAGTAAAAGGTGACATCGTCGAAGATAGACAGGGATGGCGGGTCACCTGCCGTGACGATGTCAACGCTATTGTCCAGGCCCGCATGGAGCCTGTGGGAAAGCCCCTCATCTGTGGCACTTGTGCGCGCAGTTTTCATCGGCCACAGGAGGAGGCACAACATGTAGTGCTGTTCTCCGGTCTGCCCCTTATGGGGCCACAGCCAGTCATGGTAGTGGAAGAAGGACGGAAGGGAAGGTGTATGTGTATGCGTGTGTGTGTGTGTGTGTGTGTGCGTGTATGCGTTTGTGGGCATGTGTGTGTATGTGTGTGTGCGCATGTGCAAGGTGCTGGGGAGAAAACACTACCCTCTCTGACATCGCCATCGTAGTAAACACCCTATCTAAATACGTTCCTCTGGGTAACCGAGTTTTAGGGTACCCTCTAAGAAGGCCTTAGCCCTGTGGGGATTGCCGTATCAAAAATTTTGATAATAATGATAATTTGAAACTCGGATGTTGAGCCGTAAATAAATGTGGAAAGGAAAAGGACATTATGGTGTCAGGACGTCGACTGTCTCAGTACTCTTGTCAGTTTTGTGCCTAGTTATTGCACTTTCTGACTGTATATAGTATCCAGTTACAGTGATGGAGAGTTACTCTTAACTCGTATCCATCTGTCCTTTTCCTTTCCACAATAATGATAATAATAATTAATTCATTGTGTTGCTGTTTTTCTCCACTCTCCACTGTTGGTTCTGCATGCAGAAGACAACTAGTGATAAACTATTGTCTGGTTGTTGAACTGGAAGGATTCAGCTACTGTCCTCTTGTGTTTGTGAAGTATGAAGGCTGCGATGATATCAAGTGGTGTTTTGGAAATTGACAGCCGGCAAGCGTCACACACGTGTGTGCATGTCACCAATACCCCATGTGGTATCCAGGTGCGTGTGTGTGTGTGTGTGCGTGTGTGTGTGGGTGTGTGTATGTGGGTGTGTGTGTGTGTGTGTGTGAGAGTGTGTGCGTGTGTGTGTGTGTGTGTGTGTGTGTGTGTGTGCATGAGTGTCCATCGCTGTGCCATTCTGCTATTGCCAATTTCTAAGAGCCACTACTCTCCGCTACTGATCATCTTTGACAGATTAGTTTCATATCTACCTTCATCTCCAGTCATGATACCTTCCACATCAAAGAGCGGTGTATTCTTTGCTTCAATTTGTTTCTAGTGAGATAGTATATTTTCCTATGCTTAATTCTCGTTCAGTTTTTTCCATTTTTTTGCCGGCGGCAAATCAACAATAACGTTTGAAATGTCAATGCCACATCATTACCAAAGATCTCAAGAGCAGAATGTGTGTGTGCGCATATGTGTGTGTGTATGTGTGCATGTGTACGTGTGTGTGTGTATGTGTGTGCATGTTGGTGTGTGTGTGTGCGTGTTGGTGTGTATGTGTGTACCTCTGCCGTGACTCTTTTCCTTGTTATGTCAGTATTCTCTTCTACGTAAGGGTTGGTTCTCATATCGCCGTTACGCGCCGGGAGTCACCGGCGGTGGGCCTCTTGCAACCACTTCAGGCGCATTGCGATTATGTGAACCAGTGCAGGCGTAACAAAATCATACGGTAAAATATCGCAAGGGACCACCGGCAAAGTCGGGCAGTGCCCTACTCTTGCGATCTGCCGCAGCACCGATCCCGTACAACTGTAGCAAATCGCGTGTTGCGTCGCAGAAAGTCGTATTGTGAATCGGCCTTCTCCTGAGTCAAGCTCCGTGTGAAGACATCAGAGGAAGAAGATTGCCTGATGAGTCCAGCGGGGACGAAACACACGTTTCAATCGAGCTATGTCGTTGCTGTGTCATCTTCTATGGGCCATGCGCTACTTGATGTACCACCCTGCTATGTCAGATACCGCCAACCATACATCGACCAGGCACCAGGCGCGAACAGATGGTGGTGGTGGTAAGAAGGAGCGCTCTGTGCCAGAACTTTGCAGCCTAGAGAGCGTGTGTGGGCAGGCGTGTTTTTACTGCTATATAGCCAGGTGTGTCTTTACCACCATAGTTCAACCTTGCCTGTACAAACCTCTTGTTGGTTGACACTTGTCAGCATGTTACAAGGTGGAGGACACTGTGTTCAGAAACAGCGGGAGCTTGCGGCATTCCTGCTGACTTGAATTCTCACTTGACTTTTAGGGTTTTACGTCGAGCCCTAGAGGACGACGGTTACAATGGCCAAGCTGACAACAAAATAGTTGAGACCAAAGGCAGTGATTTATTTTCCTGCGCATGCTTATGTATGAAGTGACGTGATAGTTGAGTATTGAGAGTAAGGTCGCGACAGTAATCCCCTGCCAGTGGTGAGGTCGGGAGGAGCGAAGCACGATAAGGGCGCGTTCAGACTACCGTGAACCCCGTCAAACCGTGAATGCCGATAAACCGTGAAGGACATTCACACTACCGATAACAAACTAACATTACCGTGAAGTTTTCAGCTCTCACCGCGGCACTGACAAGGGATTTTCCCTTTTTTCCCAGCGCGCATGCAGCCTGAGCACTTTTTTACTGCCGGTAAAAGTTTACTGCCCCAGCAGCCGCGGCAGTAAAACTTTCCCACCGGTAACGTGCCAGTAACATCACGTGGTCAAATCACCTTGGCGACTTTCCCAATCGGTCACTTTTTATCGGTAGTCTGAACGCGCCCTAAACAAGAAAAGAGAGAGAAAGGAAGCGTGGCATGTACGAGACGGAAAGGCAAGAAAATTATGATACAATAATTATGTACAAGTAGCGCTGCGTGGATGACATTTGTTTGTGACGTCACAACAAAAGCCAAAACAAGATTCAAAATGCAGGAAGGGGAAAAGAGAGAGATGCATGACAGAGCTAGAGGCGTGTTAACGTGTCAGAGGTGTTAACATGACAAGAGGTGAGGAGGCTGAGGATTCTTTTCTTTGTACAGCTGAAGACATGTAGAATTTGCTGTTCTACGGACCATCTTGCTGCCAACTGCCGTGCCAAGCGTACAGGGTCAAATTCCACCACCTATGCCAGCTTGCTGCAAGGTGGGAGCACGCATGCCGACCCCACCAGGGGCTCACAGCAGTGTGTCTGTATTTTCGCTCATCCTTGCCCATTGACTTAAGCCAAGACCAGACCTGAGCCAAGTGCCTCTTACTGGACAAAGCTCGAAACGTCTCTGCACAGAGCATCTGTGGCGATCCCAAGCATCACCTTGCTTGGTGACTTCGACGTTAACGTCTCTCACACCCAGCAGCATCATACTAGACCACTTCTGGATCTCTGTGCTGCATACGATGTCCCACCATCACTGCTGCGTCTCGGTGCAGCCCCTGCTCAATAGTTGTCACGTTCGTCCTAGTCTCAGTACCATTGTCTTGCTCTATTATTTTCGAGCTGGGAATGTGAACATAGTAAAAAAATAAAAAATAAAAATAAAATACGGCCTCACCAACATCGTTCACTCCGTCACCCGTGTACCGGCACAATATTCACGTGGCACTACTATTGACTTGATATTCACTACCGAAGAGAAGGAAATTCGAGACTGCAGAGTTCTTCCAGTAACGCTAAAACGACCACTTTGGAGTTGACGCAACATTGAACAAATTCTGTGTGCGACCAGAGGTTTCCAATGGGCGCACACGCCGTCCGCTCCACAATGTTGACCAACTTGCATTCAGGCGTGACTTAGCAGCAGCGGAGCTCCACGCCTACCCTCCAGAGTTAGACGTACAAGAAATGTGGGATTTTTGGTATGACCGTTTTCTTGCCGCTCTGAACCGCCATGCTCCGCTTGAGCAATGCATTGCTAGAAAAATCAAGCACCTACCACCACGGTCTGACAGGGAACTGTACAAGTTGAACCGGCACAAGCGCAGACTGCATCGCAAGTGGATTGGTGCTAGAGCAAACCTTGAAGCTCATGCAGCATTTAGACGCGCTCGCTCCAATGCTGCAAACGTATACAGGCAGAAGCGCAATCAGTATTTCTTCAATCAGTGCGAGGAGAAAAGGCGGAACCCACGCAAAATGTAGTCAGTACTGAATGCTGTTACCGGACGAAAGACACAAAATCACGAGCCCACGTGTGACATTGAGCAGGGTTTTTTTAAATATTTTATTTATGGATTCCGTCGATTGATGGATCAATCGGTAGATTCGGCTCTGTTTTTCTTTCCTTTCTTTCTTGTTTTGAATTGTATGTTGAACTTATTGGATTTCTTTGTATTCTGTATCTCGTTATCGTTATATTTATCTCTGGCCCTCTCGCTTAGGATGAGCTTTCTTTTTTTATGGCAGCTTAAGGGGGCAGCCTACCCATAAATTTCATATGGCATTCAATTGACCGTAACTTTGGTGTTTCTCAGTGGATTTGAGTGAAATTTTGACCACACACTCCTGCCACTATGCTGGCCCTCAGGACATGATTTACAAGTTCTTGCGCCTCACTGACAGGCTTTCCAGGCCGGAAAAACTCAAATTTCCGGCATAGTGCTACGGTGTGCGAGCCACCCAGGAGCCAAACAAATGCATTTACATTTTTTCACATTTTCGTGCCCATTCTGTCCGTGCGCGGGACCCAAACCTAAAACAAGTCCAGAAGCAGCCATGGGTGGTGGGGTAGGGCCCCTCAACGTGGCCCTGGAATCTGTCACAACGGAACGAGTGGGCGTTCTCTCACGGACTCCCACAGACCCAAGTCAATTTTTGAATTTTTTTAGGTTTAGCACGTGCTACGAGGTCGTACCTTTGATACAACATCCAGTGCTGGGACCTCCACAGCAAGCCATTTCCACAGCGCTGCACACCAAATCCAGGATGCCCTCAGAAACCGGCAAAGACTGCCACTCACGTTTCACTACTGCCTAGCACTGAATCCTACCTGACTTTTTGACACGACTCAAACTTGCCGAAGTCACTAAATCAACGTCAACAACAATAATCAAGCCACATATCTGCAACGTCACGAGGGTGCTGGCAAAAGTCCTGCTGCACGGCGGCGGGCTTCGCCCGCCGCCGTGCAGCCCAATACGTGTTTTTTTAACGTGATTTTTTGGACTTTTTTGGACTTGGGACAAAATTCTGCACACTTTCGCGTGTTTCCATAATACGACAAGTTGCGCACGGTCTGCTCACATTCAAATACAGTGCTGCCAACAAATGACAGCATGCAACAAAAAAAAATCTTTCCTTGCAAGGGCACATTTTCGGCCATAACTCTTGAACGGCTGATCAGATAGGGACACAATTTTCAGAGAATTTGCAGCTATTCATGCTCTTTCAACTGACGTAGCACTCAATATGAATTTACAAATTCGATTTTTCAGCGAATTTTTGGGTAGTCTGCCACCTTAAGCGAAGGCTATATACCTGCTTTATGCAGGTTGATGCCAACGCGAACAAGCAAAAATTAATAATAATAATAATAATAATAATAATAATTCCCCAAAATAAAGGCCGAGGCCTAAGTCGAGGGGGTCTCCGTTCATGGCTTACTGGGAATATCTGCCAAATTATAACATGTAGATTGAGAAGAGGAAGGTTTATAACAAAATGCGTACTGTAGAAATCAGCCATATTACATTCGTTACTATTATTATTATTATTATTATTATTATTATTTGTGCTCCCGCGTCAATGGGCTCGCCCAAATTCGCTTGCACCAAACCATGCGAAAAAAGGCCGCCAGCAGGCAGGCAGGCAAAGAAAAATAGAAAATGGTGTCACATAAACTAATACAAACAAGAATATTATTATTGATGACATTAATATACTGAATGAATGGCAAAGGCCATGTGTATACGGATAATACGGATAATCAGAGTACCAACAACAAAGAATGTAGCTCAAACCATTGCAGTGCCAACTTCCTTCACCAGTACTCTGCCTTGTACGCATCTGTAACTGCGTTGCACAGATATGTCCATTCACGGCGATCCAGTGCTCGCTGAGCCATCAGCTGCAAGTCCCTTGGAGTCCTCAGACGGCAGCCGACTCGCTCCGCGTCTTGATTCAGCAGGACCGGTAGCGTGATCCGCGGCCGCCCACGGTATCCCGGCACGGAGCAGCCAAAGAATCCACTCATGGCCTCCCTAGCCGGTGTGTGCTCATCTGATCGCAGGATGTGGCCAAACAACCGCCGCGTAGGTTTCAGAAACTCTGGAAGGAATGAAACCAGCGGGTTCAAAGCGGGTGTTGGCAAAGATGGTACGGACACGAGACAGTTTCCGACGTATTCTGTTAGGTGGTGACAGATGAGGCCGGGTCCAGTAAAATTTCCGCACCGGAGGGTTCACCTCAACTATAC